GGCTGATCTGAATTTTGAAATTAAAGCAAAGTCATCTTCTGAAACAGCTTCCTCTTTCACTGATCCATATGAGGTGGTTCCTGATCTTCTGATACTATTTCCAGTGCAGCCTGAGAGAACCTACAGCCTTTTGCTGCTTGTGGATCACTTAACCAGCATTGCCTACGCCCTTTCTCTCTCCTCTTTCATTAGCCTTGTTGAGAGCGGTCTCGTTTATTTCTAGCCTAAATGTCTGTCACACACACACATGCACACAAACTGGAGCCCCCAGGAGAGGACAGACATGGAAGATGATGCTCCATGTAGTGCAGCTCAGCAGAGTGCTCGGGGCATGGGCTGCAGCTGCCGTATGGGGTGGTGTTTTTGGGGTGTTGCCTGAGCAGGCCTGTCGCTGCCTCAGACAGGGTGCTTTACCTGGGGATGTGAAACGAGTTGTTTCCTATGTTGYGGCTTTCATGAAGTCTGATAACACTTGCTGTTTCTGCTGGAATTGTAGGAGATTGATTTTAGATCATCAGAATGTGTAGCCTGGGAGCACCTTTGAAGGATGAAATGACTTAGAAAGTTTTTAGATGCGTTATTTTTGAGTTGACCAAAGTGTGGTTTTTTTGTTTTTAAGAAGTTCCTCCTCTGGTGGCTGTGCCCCCATAAAAAAAGACATGAGGAGTCCAGGCCGTCCTAATGCTCTGCTAGGCCAAGCAGAAGCCGGTACTGACTTTTCAGAATCTTTGTTTATTCATAAAAAATGAATCCACCCCTCACCCTTCCGCAGCTTTAGACTCCAGTACTGAGGTGAAGGTTCCTCCCACTTTAGGCTCCAGTACTGAGATCTGTCAAGTCTTTCCACAAATCTCTTTACCTTTCAGAATCCCTTAAAAAGTACCTAATTTGGATACTAGGAAGATTTAAAAAAAAAAAAAAAAAAGTCTCAATTTCATTGCTCTTTGCCTCTTTTTCTACCGTTTGATCTTTATTAAGAGCTCTAGAAGCAGCTTAGAAGTCCCGTTAACCTTTTTCCCCCACTGGCTAAATAAAGTTTTCATTAGAGCAAAGAACTCCTGTGTTCCAGACCAAATTCACACAACCTCTCCTAAATTGCTACGTAGTCCATAGCCATTTTTGGGGACTTCTCATTTAAGCATGTGGTGATCAAAGGTTGTTCCTTACGTCAAGWAAGAACATGAACTTTGCCTTAGCAGGAGCCTGACCTAACTAAGGCAGCTGTGATGGAGTTGGATGAAGTAAGAGTTTAAGAATATGCGTTTTATATGTTATGTTTTAAGAACAATTACTTTTGCCTTTCTGCCGTTTTCAGAAAAAAACCTGTTTTTTCGAATCTGATTTTCAAGTTTTCCAATTGGAATGTTATTCCCAATAAACATATATTTGTTCGTACATTTTAAGTAAAACCGTTCTCTTCCTCCTGACTGCCTGTTGCGTGTGTGCACAGAGCAGTCCTGCCAGCACGCTGAGCTYGCAGCTTTTCCCTTATCCAAACAGTGAAAAAACTCCTCTCTCTCCCAGTTAGAATTCATTAATCTTTAAGGTCCGAAACAAAAGATACTGCTTTAGAAGACTTCTYGCTTAGCACCGTGTCCTTGTCTCCATGTGTGTCCTGCTGCTCGCGCGTGTTCTCCCTTTGCTGCCCCTCACACGCTTGCCTGTGTGTCGCTGCGCTGTGTGACGCGCAGCGGCCACGTCCAGTGATGCTGCTCCTGCTCCGAGGAGGCAGCCTTGGCCTCCTGGCCCGTCAAGCAGCGTCTGCCCCACAAGATCATTGAAGTTCATTGACGCTGTAAAGCAGCGCTGCTGGCCTCTGTGGGGTTGTGCTGCGCGTGCCCCGTGTCCTTGGGCACAGGGGGAACTCTCCCCAGCAGTGGGTACAGGCTTCATGGAGACTGGGGCCTACGGCGCTTGGTTCTCTTGGCATTTCGTTGCTTCAGGCAGCATCATCTGCACCGTGTCCCAGTTCTGCCTTTAGTAGGTGATTTCCTGATGGGTGTTTCATCAACATACTCTATTTTTTTTTTTCCTGTAGTCACTAATAAAAAAGCCAGCACTAASGAGCCTCACCAGTAGCATACTTTTAGCTCTTACATGTCTTTTCAGTGCTAGTAACTTTTRTCTTTTCCTCAGCAAGTTTATCTACTGTACAGTTCTCCACTAATCACCATCTCTTCCCATTGCACTAAATTTTCGATGCTGGATTGTGGCACTATTAATAGATGAATTAATGATATTTTCTTGGTACACAAAAGCAGGTATCTTACTGAACAAAGCCTGCTAAGTTTGTCTGATATTTTCCTAATGCAATTTGCATTTTATTCAGTTTTTCATTTCTCTTGTTTTACTTACAGACTAGTTTTTAACTATCATGCTATCATCCTTGAGAGGTTGGAAAGATGGCTTATTGCCCCAGTCACTTSCTCCTTAAGTACTCCTCTGATTTCATAGAACAAACGATTTTTATGAACTGAGACTTAACATTTTTTGAACCRGTTTCACAACACTGTTCTCCCATATTTGGGAACATGAAACTCTCATCAAAATGGAAAGGAAGCGAATAGGTTTCATTTTCAATTTCCTTATTTCATCAATGTTTCTGACTGCTGGTAATAGGCCAGGGTTTTTTTTGGTTTTATGAATTTTCTCCTACCTCTCTCCTGCCTCATACCTTTACCCTTAGTATCCTTTTATCCTTRCTATCCTTAGTATCCTTTTATGCAGCAGGGGAAAAAATCCAGACAGTTTTTCTTTTTTTGGAGGGATGCATTTTTCATATAGTCCTTGTATTCTTGATTTAAGAAAAAAAAAAAAAAAACATTTTTTTGTTCCTCTTTTCAAGTTTACTTAGGATTTTATGGATTTATTGTGCATGCCACTTCTGGAACTTAATGTATAGTTCTTCCTCCAGCTCTTCTCTGTTAGCTTTATTACTGAAGAAATCTTACTATAAAGTACCATTATTAATTTATTAATCATTAATCTATTATTTTTTAAAAAGGGGGAAAAATCTGATACATGTCACTCCTGGCAGGCCTTGTCCTTTAATAGCAGTTACATCTTAGAAGCTTATTTTCCTATGTTGACATAATCTCAGAGAGTAATTTTTTTGTACAGCATTCAGGATCTTTATTTCCAAGTTCTTGTACATAATTTCTAAAGGGTGGCACTAAAGGATCTAACTGGTGTCCTTTCCAAAAACATTTTTTAACCTGGTACTGTATTACAGAATAAAAACAATTTGCTAGTCGGGGGATAGCTGATCCTTGTTCTTTTCCTTTAAATCAAAAAGGAAAGTCTTCATCTAACGGATCCCCCTTAACCCCAGGAGTTTCTTGGAAGAGGGCAGTCCCAGCCGTTCCTCCTGCGGGGAATGAGCATCTGTCCCTGTGYGAGAGGTCCCTGCGCCCCTCTCCGTGTTGACCGGCGCTTTCTGCCCCTGCCTGCCTAGCTCCCCTTGCACGCAGAAGCCTTCAGCTCTCGGCCTTTAGGAGCGCCTCAGGCTTCTGTGTGAGCAGGATTTGATGGTTGGGAAGCTTCAGTGCTTGATGTGGTTTCTTTGCTAGTGGTAGGGAAGGGGCTCAGAACTTCCCTTAGGAACCCTTGCCCGTGTTTCAGCACACATCCTCCAGGGTTGGTCTTTGGCTGGAGATTCCCCTGACTCTCTCCTGCCTCCCCACACTATGTCCCTTCCCATAAGGGGAGTTTSCTGCATGGCAAGAGCAGTGCAGGAAGTAGCGGTGCCTTGGCTGTGGCATCTTGCTCTTAGCCTGTATTGATTCTGCCGCCTTAGCCGGTGGGACGGTTGTGTCACTCACTTGAGGCTCTGTTTTCATTTCCCATCTCCTTCTGTAGGATCCTCTACTCCAGTTCCTTCCTTTGGGAATAACGTGGAGCAAAACAGAACATAAATCTTGCACYGGTTTGTGTTTCTTCTTTGCGAGTCTGTTTGCTGGAGGGGGCCGGGCGGCCTCTGCGTGGGGCTGCGCAGGGGTGGCTGGGGACGTGTCCGATGGCCGCGCACAAACGGCTCCGCGTCTTGCCCTGAGGTAGAGCAGTACCCGGCTCATGGGAGCTGGAGGCCGAGTTCCTTAAAACCAGCGCTGATGCTCCCTGTTGGAAGGTGTCGTGGAAGTGCGTAGTGCTACTGTCTGCAGACTGAATTCCTTATTTAATTTATTTATTTTGGTTTACTTTTTTTTTTTTTTTCCCTTTCTCCTCTTTTTGCTTCTTTCCTGGCAGTGCATAGGCCTGTTGCAGTTAGGGAAAGAAGTTTTCTGGTCTCTCTTTAAAGGAAATGCAAAATGGCTTGGCTGGGGAGAGTAGCAAGGGGCGTTCTGAAGAGGTGCTGAAGATGTGAAAATTCAGAGTGGTGATTGGTCACCTCTGCTTGATTGACAGGTTGCAGGGAAAAACAAAAACCCATTTGTTCTGGCTTAATGGAACTGGAAATCAGAAAATGAGTATCAGGTAAAAATTCCTTTTTTAACATCTTTGCAGCCCTCCTTTAGAAACCGGAGCTAAAGGCACGCGAGTTGGAGCCTGCCGGCAGCAGCAGGGCCGGAGCAGGGCGGCGGAGGCGGCGGCGGCAGCGGGCGAGGTGCGCGGTGCGGGTCGGCACCGCCGCGGCCCGCGCTGCCCAGCCGCCAAAGGGGCAGCCACCGAGGCCCCCCGAGCGAGGAGCCCGCTCTCTGGTTAGGCTCGTGAGCAGGACGGTCGAGGGGGAGCTTTTACTCTGACTTCCTATGCTGTGCCTGCTTTGTGGGTAAAGTCTGTCCGTTTCTGCTACTAGCAATTTGGCATCTTTCGTGAGTTTGATCGCCAAATTCACTGAGAAGTGAATGGCTAAAATGTAACGTCTGTTCTAAAGTAACTTCTAGCTATCAATATACTGTTGTACTGACTTYAATTTTCAACATCACAGTTTCATACAGAATTATAACGTAAAACAGTTTATTTCTGGTAACTTAATTGTTTTGTATGTTGATGTATTTCAGATTGAAGGACAAGGACATGGTGCAGTTTTTGACTGCAAGTGCTCTCCTGATGGACAGCATTTTGCATGTACTGATTCTCATGGTCACCTTCTGATTTTTGGCTTTGGTTCCAGTAGCAAATATGACAAGGTACAGTGCAAGATCATAATCTTTTTGTTTGTTTGTTTTKAATGTATTTGTCCATATTTCAGAGTTTCATTTTGAGAAGATGTATCTCAGCATACTTTTGAGCCATTAATATGGGATGCCTCACGTTCTTTAAATTACAAAAACATACTATGAAGCTATTCTTGTTTGCATGGGAATCAGAACTCATTTCCTCCTCTCTGAAGTGAGGGGTCTACAGGATTATAGTAACTGATCTTCATGGATAAAGTAACTAGACTGAAATGAAACTGATGTTAGTTGAAGCTCATTGGACTTTAATGGTTCTAATTAAGACAAAAGGTGGGTTAGAGTGGGGGCCTTTGTGATAAAACTCATTCCTGATGTTTGTTACTATGCATTCTAGTGATACAGCTGTATGTCTGCATAAGTCATTCTGCAGGTATGGATGTCATGGGGCTTATATAGTAATGTGAAATTAAAATAATATATTTGTATCACCATATTATAGTTAGCATTGTGTGTTCTACATTTGGGTGACTTGTCATTGACCCTTGTGACAGGAGAGGTTCTTCTTTCTTACMATTCTGCGTGGTTGCTGAGCAAGCCCTAGGAACTGTAGCTGACCTAGGAAGTGTGCGGTCCCTCGTCTGGAGGCCCACGAGTCCCTCTGCTGCAGGTGCCGCACTGTCGGTCAAGGGCTGGATCCTGCTTTGGATCTCTGAGCATGGGCCAGTCTTCAAAGCAGCACGTGGCTCTGAAGCAGCACATGGCTCTGAATCCCTAACTGAATCCTCCTCGACCAGCAGAAGGTCTTCCTCTCGTCCATYTATCTCTCTTTTACCTAGGCTGTGCAGTTCATGGGGGACAGCCTTAGCAGTAAAGACAGAGGCAAAGAAGGCGTTTAGTRACTCTGCCCTCTCAGTATCCTCCATCGCCAAATCACCCTCCCCGTTCAGCAGCAGACTAGCATTTTCCCTAGTCTTCCTCCTGCTACTCATGTGTTCGTAGAAGCCCTTCTTGTTGTACCTGACATCCCTTGCTAACTCTAATTCCAGGCGGACCTTGGCCTTCCTCGTTGCATCCCTGCATTCCTTGACAGTGTTCCTRTATYCTTCCCATGTGGCCCAGCCCTTCTTCCACATTGTGTATGGGCTCTTTTCCTCATTCATTTTACCCAACAGCTCCTTGTCCATCCACGCAGGTCTCCTGCCCCCCTCACTCAACTTCTTACTTGTAGGAATGCACTGAGCCTGAGCTTGGATCCTTCCATTTGGATCCAGAGGATCATTGGGTCTTTTCCTGAGCACTGATCCTTTCCTTTATTCTGCCAACTTATAATTATTGAGGTATTAGATCTGTTTGAAGAAGAAAACCAACATTTTCCTTTTTTTTTTACGCTCTAGAGAACATTTCTGCTCTGAGATTTGCTCTGCAGGATTGTTTCAAATTTTTTACTTATCAGGTGATTTAAAATGATCTTTCCCTGCGTTAACTGTATCACAGTATTCTTATTGTTATTGACCGTAGAGGAGATGGGAAGAAATAGAATTTACATTTTTTTCTTTTTTTTTTCTTAATCTGTCATTGGCTGTTAGAAAACTCATCTCAGAAATTTGAGGTCTTTTTTCATGTCTAGTTGCATTTCCTTTCACTTTTTCTCTGACCTGCTTTATGGAAAAATATAGCTAAAGACTTGGGGTTGTGCTTTCTGCCTCCCCATCTCCCCCCAGCTGCTTGTTTTGTTTTGACACCTTRTGAGAATATGTTGTGGTAGAGGATATGTTTGTGACTTCAAAATAATTTCCATACATTTTGAGGAAGGATTTTTACAAGGAAATGAGTGTGATAACTTGTTTGTTGACACTTGTCCTGTTCTCTCCTGCCTTTGCAAGTTGTGCTCAACATGACGATTCCAGCCAAAGTCGTGTTTGGTGCTKTTGAAGGAGGTTTCTTGTGTACATATCTATGTACATAGTTTTGCATTATGTTTAGATAATATCTGTGCTTCCTAGTTTGCTAAGACTACTGTCTGTTTAAGCTCTTTCTTTCTTTTTTTTTTTTTCTCTTTCTAACTTATTGCTGCTTTTTTCCTTCTTAGGAAACATTTTCAGTATCATCTTGGCCATGGTGATGATGATGAAGGGATGCATTTTTTTTTTCTTACTTGTAGGTGGGATTTGGCAGGGGGTGACATGTTCTAGGGAACAGTGCACATTTACTGCTTGCCTTGTACTTCTTTGGCCTTTGATCCAGGTAAAGAGACCTTGAGCCAGTCTCGACTGAGGTTTCTGGGCTTCTGCAGTCCATCAGAGTTGAGTTGAGCTCAGTGGGGTGTGCACATTTCAGGAGCCCCTTGCTTAGGTGGGGAACTTGTCAAGGATGTCTAGCCACCCAAAAGCATAAGGTGCCTTTCAGTTTACTTAAAATCTGGCTCTGTCTCTGAGCCGTCTAAGGCCTCAGATCCTTTAGTCAACCCAAGCTGCTGTTGAGCAACTGTTCCTTGTTGCAGGTTACTTCATTGCATTTGTACAGGCTTGCTGATTTGGAGGAACTGGTGGTTCTGAGCATGTAATGGCTAAAGTAAAATACCTTCCAGTCTGTCTCCTAYAGCTCAGATATCTTTTAGAAGCTTTCCCAACATGAACTAAGTTGATTTGGATGTGTAGGAGTTTGGTGGTGCTATAGTGTGTCTTGGTTTTGTGCAGAAGTTGATCTCTAAAAGTAGAAGAGCAAGGTCAGCTTGCTAGTATTTTTAACAGGTTCAGGTCTGCTGAACTTGTCGGAAACTGAATATTATTAAGGTTACCTAATTCATCCTGAGGGACACGTGGCCCAAGAACAACGATTTACAATGTCCCCAAGCCCTGGGCTGCTGTGGGAGCTTTTCTTTCAGAGTTCTGCTTAGAGCTGCTCTGAGCCTGGAGCACCATTAAATGCCATCCTTATCTCACGGAGTGGAAAATTGTCCCCTACTTTCTGTTCCACACTTGCTTGCAGTAAAGAGTAGACAGGAAGGCAAATACAGAWAAGTCCCAGTAGGTCTTGCACTAGAGACTGTTCTGGTGTGAGGACCCTGAATCCGAGAGCTCGGGATCCTCCCCTTGCTTAAAAAACCTGGTGGGGTGCAGAGAGGCCTGTATGGCCAAAGACTGTAAAACTGGCTGCCCAAATGATCCTGCCGTGGGAACTGCTGCTTTTTCACGGCGGAAAGCACTTAGTAGTAGCAGGAAGATTGCACTAGATAAAGCACTASATATTCTGCTCTTAGCTTAACAGTTCTGCACAAAGCCTCAAGTCCTCCTCCAGGACTCGTGTTCATCGTCCTGAGCTAGTTCCTCGACCTGAAGGAGCAAAGTTGTTAAGCTGGCCTTGATGAAACACCGTTTCTGCTGATGAAATACGAGGTTTCCCTCCTGGGAGTGYGTGTTATCTTCTTCATTTCACTCGTTCTCTCAAGTTAGTGAAGAATCTGGCCACGATACCTGCTCCAGTCWGGGCCTCTTATTCACAGGATGTGATCTTGTCCGCGGGCGCTCAGCGAGAGCAGCCCTGCAGCCTCTCTGCCGTCGCCTCTCTCTGTGCATCCCTCCAATTTTCTTGCTTGTGCTGCTCTTTTGAATAGAGGCATTGTTTTGGACAGAGTCAAGAGCTTATGTGACAGGTGATTCTTACACGTTCCTCATTCATGTTGTTTGGATGCAWGTAGGCACCTCAGCTTTCTTTTTTGATGTTGTTAGGTGCTAGTGATCTTCCCGATCATTTCTCAGGTAACTTAGTGTTTGTGTGGAGGGCTAGTCTCTTGATGATGCAACTATTCATTTCTTACTTAAAAAGTTAAAAGAAATTGTTGTGAACTGGGGTATGATAGAGCATACTCTGCTGAAGTCAGAACACATTCTGTCAGCATTTGGGTATTTCTGTGTCCAAACTCAAATATCTGTCCTGAAAACCCGTGACAAGATTATTTGGAGATCTATGTACAGTTTTGATCAATGATTTAATCATTTTTATACTGCACTGGAAGTCTACTTTCAGTGTATTGCCATTRTGTGGAGTGTTATTTGTTTGAAGTTGTCTGCATGAACATGTCCCTCAAAGGGATTTACTTTCCAGGGAGTAGTGTTGGGATGTGTAGTCTCTCTGCCATTCTCTCTGCTCTCTGCTTTCTTTTTCCTTCTTGTACTCCACTATCTACTGTCTGCAGTCTGCTGTGCACCTCTGACTGCAGGACACGGAGATGCATGTGCCAGTGAAGGGGGGGAGCAGAAGCCTTTGGCTGGAGAAAGGAATTGCGCAGGCCTGAGTGCTAGTGGCAAAGCCACCTGGAATTAACTGTGAGGAAGTGGCTAAAATTGAAAATAAAGCTTTGAACTTGAAGAATTCAGCTTTTCATCTAGGGAAACTTAATTTTTTAAGTATAAGAATACGTGTGTTTGGCTGCTTGTGTTAAAATACTAGATGGTGAACTACCAGTGATGCAATAAATATTTTTCTGTTATTCTCTGCACACCATAGCTCTTGGAAATCTGTGATACAGTTTTCATTACCAGGTGCATATGCATCATTGTGTGTAATCTATTAATATTCTGCTGTGTCAAATAGCTACATGTTGTTACACATTTCCCTGGTCTTTAAATACTGCTCTCTCTCAAACCATTGGATTGTTCTCCCCATAGTGTAGTACAGAAAGGCATTACTGGGGGGAAAAAGAAAAGACTTCAAAACAAACAGCAACACTGGCTTGTTAAATTTTCCTATTTAATCTGAATATTTAATTCAGATTAGTTTATAGTATTGTTTTTAGAGAGGTGACTGCCAATAATACTGTATGGAGGACTTTGACAGACATGCTTTTTATGCTTCTTTATAGGCTCTTTAAAAGTCACACATTTTCTTTATTACAGATAGCAGATCAGATGTTCTTTCATAGTGATTATCGGCCCCTTATCCGTGATGCCAACAACTTTGTCCTGGATGAGCAGACCCAGCAGGCTCCGCACCTGATGCCTCCCCCATTTTTGGTTGATGTGGATGGCAACCCTCATCCTGCAAGGTATCAAAGACTAGTTCCTGGTCGTGAGAACTGCAGGGAGGAGCAGCTTATCCCTCAGATGGGAGTGACATCTTCAGGTATGGAAGAAGAATCCAGTTCAGGATACAGTATTCCTGGTACCTCCAGGTGTTCTCCCTCTTCCTTCTCACGTTGTACTTCATCATCATCATTAATAGTAAGAGTTCATTAAGCATTTAAGAGTCATATGGCTTAGGAGTTGCTTGGCAGTCATTGCTTGTGAAAGCCTATATACTGTCCTCACTCAAGTTAGCACTAGCTAACACAGCACTTACTTAGAGCTCATAATTTCTTTATTGAAATGGTGTAAGGTGCTGAGTGAGCTTTCAGTCRATGTTTTGGGGGGTAAGACTTCCTACTTCAGAGAACCTGGGAAACAGACTGATGAGATAACAGCTGCAAGAAGAGGAAAGTGGGAGGACACTTGACACCTCCTACCAAATCTTCCCCTTCTTGAAATGAAGAAATTCATTCAACTTTAGCTTTTTTAAACTGATGGTTCAGTTAAATATCTCTCAAGATTTGATGAAGATACAAAAACCTGGGTCATCTTGACCCTGCCCTCACAAAATATAATGCTGTTAGTATTAAGAAAAAGGTGATCTGGTTTAAAAAATGAGACTCTTAATGTATATATTAGCCTGTACTAATAACATGTGATAACWTGTGGTTATCTACTACACTTCTGAATATCAAGGCTAAAATGTAGGTAGCCACTTTGTAGCTCCTGGAAAAAAAAGTTTATGAGACTTTCTCGTGCTATTTTACTTTACAGGATTGAATCAAGTTCTTAGTCAACAAGCAAATCAAGAAGTTAGTCCACTGGATAGCATGATTCAAAGGCTTCAGCAAGAACAGGATCAGAGACGTTCTGGGGAGGCAGGAACTAGCAGTACCAGCCGCATAAGCAGAGGTAAACAACTGGCTTCTTTTTGTGTTTCCTATGGAAACATCGAGCAGTTGGAAAATCGAAGTCCCATATTATTGTTTTTGACGTGCATTTTGTTGGACTACTAGCAAGGAGATGTGGAGCCACAGAAAATAGTACAACTTTCCCATCCATTTTCTGTCTTTCATAAAAGAAGAATTCTTAACCTCAAAATTGTTTATGTCCTTCCAAGGAATTTGCAGCAACTGTGTTCCCTTAGCAATTAAAAACTATGCTCCTGTTCAGTCTAGAATTGGCCAGCTGAATCTGAATTGTAGCAAATAATCAAGAAGAATCGAAGATAGAAAAAAGAAAAGAGCTTCTTTTTTCTCTGTAAAATATTTCACATCCCAGTGTCTAGCAGTAGATTTCTCAGTAAACTTCAGTTCCAAACAATTCCTTGTGGTAAACCCACCTGAGTAAGTGGGTTTACCAGAAGAGCTAAAGTGTGTGGAAAGATTTGGAAACATGTTGAATTTCTTTTTTTTAGCATAGATATTTGAAGTATCATGTTTTTATGTTTTTTTTCTTTTGCCCATTTCATATTTTGTTAGCAAATTTTACAGCTTCAGTTCCTAGTAATTTCCAGTGTAGTGGCTTCATGGACATAGTGGACTCCATTGTATTTAAGAAATATTCGGATTCCATAAGATAGCTCGGCATATTGTAAAATGGGTGTGCAGTGCAGCAGCAAGAGTCAGCTTCTCGTAGATGTTTTCAGAAGCACCTTTAAAGAACAGCGACCCTGTGAACTAATTTGTTGTGCTTCAGAGTATTGACGTCTCGGCTCCTCTTCAGTATGAATTTTTAAACAGTACTGCAGCTCCACAGATGTGTGAGAAGTTTGAGTTTTGGAAACTGCAGAGATTAGTGCAACTCTTCAATTWATATTTTTGTTCTTCTAAAATACTATGTTTTCCTTTCCTTTTGCGTTCAGAATGTTAGATCTAACAGAGCTCTGGCTTTTGGGCTTTGCAGGCTCTCTAAGCGCTCCCTCAGAAGTGCACTCGCCGCCAAACATCGGCTTGCGGCGCAGCGGGCAGATCGAAGGCGTGCGGCAGATGCACAGCAACGCGCCCAGGAGCGAAATAGCCACTGAGAGGGACCTGGTGGCTTGGAGCCGGAGGGTTGTGGTGCCTGAGCTTTCTTCTGGAGTAGCTAGGTAAAGAGAAGCCTTCCGCATTTGCAGTGGATTTGAATTTGGTAAATGTAGTTAAACTGTTCGGGAATTCCTGATGTTACGGGACAGGTTTTGTGGTGCGTAGCTGTGCAGTGGTCTCATTGTTCTGAAAATGGGTTTCAGTTTGAAATCAGCTCTTGTTTCCATGACATTTGAAAGTCCTGGAATTATGAGAGTGTCATGAATTTTAAAACGCTGATAGAGCAGATGAGAGAGTGACTCAACTGGTATATGCATCGGGATCTAACTGCTTGTCTTAGCATAAGATTATGGTGCTTTGATGACATTAGTCCCTGGCATTTTGTGGCCTTCATAGAAGGCTGAGGCAGTGACCTTATCCAGCATGTGTCCAAGATGAAATTCCAAACCTCTCTGCTGTACTTTCATTTCTTCTAGTAATAGACTCCTGTGCAAATACATTCCTGAGTGTGGCAAGTAGGGATTTCTTGTTTTACTGATGAAAGCGAACTGCTCTAGCTTTATGAAATAGTTAAAATTATTAAGTATCCAAATGCTTTTTCAATGTCTAAAATTAAAAATCTTTTGAAGGGGAGATAACTGGTGTCCCGAATCACTGTGCTGGTGTAAAGATGCAGGTTTCCCTTGGATTTAGAAACTGCTATCCCCTAAACAGCCAGGAAAGTACTTTTCAGTCATGTTTTTCAGCCTCGTGTTTTTCAGATATTGTGTGGCCATTTCTCCAGAATCTTGATTTTGAATTGAGACTCACAGGTTTGGAGGTAGTTAAGTCAAACAGATGTCCTCTAAACACAACATAGCAGGTATTTAGTACTTGGCATTTTAAATTTTTCAGTGTTCAGAAAGGATGACTTTGAGGTTGAATTCTGATCCTGAAGAGAGGAACTACTGCTACTCAAAGAATATTAAAAGCACTGAACATTTATTCCATGGCTAGAAGAGATATTCTCAGCTGTAGTTTTTTGCTTTGAAGTTAACATCTCAATTTTCTATTTCCAGTAGGCAAGAAGAGTGGCGAACAGCAAAGGGAGAAGAAGAAATAAGGGCTTATCGGTCAGAAGAGAAAAGAAAGCATGTAATAAGTCACGTTCCAAGAGAAAACAAAATGCCTACTTTCTCTAAGGTAAATAACCGCTTGTACCTTATTATTGTAAGAGCTGTAAAATTTAGTTCAGTGTATCTAGGTCACACGAGTTTACATTATTTTTCTCATTTTTAAATTAAAAAAGCAGGAACACAGAAATCTGTGTTTACCTTCCCGGAATGAGGACATTTGTTGATGTTTAACTATGTTCTAAATAAGCAACTGAGATTGCTTTTAGAAGTCCTTAAGTGAGAAGACCTGTAAATCTGGTATTGGAGACTGTTGGAAAATTGCTGTTGGAAATATATTATGTTGACCAATACATCCTGCTGCTCTCTTTTAGTGTTTTGTGTAAAGCCASTGTGGAAAAGATTGATTAAAAATTAAGTCACAGTCCTTAACCTGAATATATTTAAGCACATAACCCATAATGAATAAAGAATCAGGTATTTTCTGTCATAGTACCTTCATAATTATGGTGCTGTTTTGTGGGGGATTTTGTATGCCATGTATTTTACTGGAGCTACAGGTACATTTCTCACAGGAAAGAGAGGACTGAATAGATGAAAACAGGGAAAGGTGATTTGTATTAAAAATGAAGCTTGTTGTCATAATTGACTTAAATTCTTATGTAACTTTTATGGACTTGTAATTATAAGTCAGGTTATTTGTGCATCTCATGATTCTCTGTTCTTTCCTTGCTACACCTACCAAATTTTGTAATTATAGTCGTAGATGCTAAAGCTACCTTCTGTAAAGGAGAAGATTTTTTTCTTTTTAATAACTTGGTAAAGGTGAACTGCTTTGGGTGTTGCAGCACTGTTATAGTACTATAGATAATAGAGTTTCACCCTTAACTTAAAGGGGGAAGCCTAATAAAATCCATGCCTGCAAATTGCCCTTTGAAAATAGTACGAATCACTTTAGGGGTCAAAGGTAAAAAGCGAAGATATTTTCGTGCTGCAGTCTCCATTAAGTGCATTTACGTAAGATTAAGTGATTTTGTRTGTGTGTCTGGTATCTACCAGTTTTTCTACGTAGCAGTAAGCTCTTTGTACTTTAAGGTTTGGAGGCAGCCATAATAAGCCCCATTAAWGGCTTACAAGGTCATCTTAGTATTTGGTAACTCCTACCTTCTCTTGGGAATAATAGATGAGCCTCAAAAATTCAAATTTTAAGCARTTTTTATTTCTTTACCCGAGAGAATGGATTTTGGTGCTTATTTGTAGCTTTTCGTTAAATATGTTTGGACAGTTGCACTGCTTGAGGTTTTTTTTTCCCCTTCTCGCTAGCTACCACATGCAGTCAAATGATCCTTCCTGCTCCGTGCATTCCTACCAGCTTACTCTTGAATTTCTAATTGGGTTATAGTTTTCCTAAAATACCACTAGAGCATAAAAATAGGAGCGCGGATGAGCTGGTGCACTAGTCCAGCATCTTGTTTTTGGCAATTGCTTGTATTACGTATTTGAGAGAAGAAACTCATAATGGATGACTTTAAATTCTTCCTTCTGGAGAAGAAAATGCTAGTGTTCATAATGTAAAGGTTTTACTGGATCCTTTTGAATCCTAACTTTTCTTTATATGTATCTATGTCCTTAAAATCCTGCAGAGCAAAGCTTGCTCAGTTTCATATATTGATCCAGATGAGAATGTGCCTTTCTCAGGAAAGAAATCTGATACTTTCCCTTTGCTTATTCTTTGTTAAATCTGTCACTACTTGGAGCACAGAGATTTATGGAGAAGTGGTGAAAATCTCCTGAGAAAGATCTCAGAGGGACTAAGAAATAAGTAGGTATCAAATAGGCTTTTAATAAGCTAAACAGATTTACGAAAAGGATGCTTGGTCCTAAGCAATTAAGTGTCAATTAGCACACTGTTCAGATTTCAGCATTTTTTTTGTTTGTTTTTGCATTAATATAAGCACATTTTTGCCCAGTAATTTCCTGAGCATTTGGAATGGTGAATTAGAATTGGTGTTGTCCCCTTTTTTAGTCACAAAATTATATACAGACCTGGCAAAGAGAAGGCTGATTCCGGTCCAGAAAACTGTCTTCTGTTATTTTTTATATATTTTTTAATACCCATTAGTAACATAGTTATAGAAGCATTTTCCTTGCTGTTCTTTATACTGGCTGTATGGCTTTACATAAATACTGTTTGGTTATAGATAGAAATGGAAAGTACTGTGTAATTTTTTTCCCCCCCAGAGTAATACAGTAGAGTACAATACAGTTACAGTAATAACTGCTTTATATACTAACAGATTGGGGGATTTCTTAAATTTGTCGCCTGGGCAGAGCTTGCAGTTGTTGAAGAATATTTAATTTAGGATAGAGGTATTTATTAAAGATGTTGCTAGTAGTATTTTTTTTTCTGGAGAGAGATACTTTCTCTTCAGGAAAATCTCTCTCCAGAAAAAACTGTGAAATTCATTAAACACAAATTAAGTTCAGGCATACATGGTGGGATGAAGAGTATAAGCAGTGTGTCCAGTCAAGAATTAAAGCAGTTACGTAGACCATCTGACTGACTGACGCATAGAAAGCATCCTGTGGGAAAGGCACATGCAGAGCGTTACAGACACGTTCCTGTCGTCGTCCTAAGGAGGTTGTAGGTGAGTCTTGGTGGTCCCGTTCTGGTACCAGGCATGGGCTGGTGAGCCAGCCCTGTTTAACCTACTGGCATAGACTGATCCCCACTGCCTTTGTGAAGGGGGGACAGTATTTAGCTTGTGAACAGAAACAGCTGGTTTAAAAAAAAAACAGTGTGAAATTATTATAGGTAGAGGTCTTCAAAATTCCTACCACCCTGTGTGAGAGCAACGCTTTGTTTCCTGGTGTTACGGATAGGTGAATGTAATGTCCAAAGCTRGAGGTTGTCAGGACACCATTGAGTCCTCGGGTCTTTCCTAAATGGTGTTAAAAGTACCCCGAGCTGGGCCCAGATGACTTGTTTGAACCTACCCCTGAAAATGCAGGGAACGTCCCCCCTTGTATTTCTCAGAAAAACTGTTCTGGCAGCAGCTGTAATTTCTAATGTGTCGTAGATGAACTCCAGTACTGAATGGAAGCCTTGGATGTGATGCACACTTGTCAGCATGTACGTGGTGACTGTTCATCATAGTATACAGAGAGAAAGTAAGTTAGGGTTGAGCCTCAAATCCATAATGATCTTGGCTCAGTTTTCAAGCCTCCCTGTAGAGTGCAATCTAAAGCTCTTGCTCTACGATACATGTTGTACAAGCAGAGCATCAGCTGAGTTTTCATTAGTCATTGCTGCAAATCTCCATGCTTGTAGTACCTTCTCTTTGTACTTAGACCTCCACACACGYGTGTGTTGTGCACACATCACCAAATACAGTACTAAGAATTTGCCCAACTGGGAAGTTTTCAAAAGGTTTTTGGCAGTGCTGTGTTGAGTAGGAGGGATGTTTAATACATTCTTGTCAGGATGTGTAATAAATATACCTTACCTTCATTATTTGCAATGACCTACTGATTTTTTTTTCCTTTGGTACTAGATCATTCCACAAGCAGCTTGTYCTGGTTTTGATAGGTGCTTCCATGCAGGGAAGCTTATTTATTGATTTAATTGCTTGATTTTTGTCTATCTCTGAACTGCCAGCTTCTGTCTGAAACCAAAAAACAAAACAAGGCATATTTGTTTCTCAGGCATGCAGTATCTCAGGCATCCACCTCTAGGTAGAAATGGAGGATGTAAGCTTTGAGAGATTTTTATTTCCAGAGACAAAAGACAGATGAACTTATGTGGTATCATGTAGCTTCTGCAAAATGTATCCTTATTAAGATAAGGATATTGGACTCATCGGTTTCATTGTGCCTACCTGATCCCATTTCCGTTGTCCTTGCTCTCTCGTGTGCTGTTTCATGGTGCATACAGGCAGCTGGTGCTGTGTACAGTCGTTATTCCCAGTTCCTGCTCTGGAAAGGCAGAGAAGCTCCTTGCTCCGGTGCTCACTTGTATGGCTTGCTTGGGAGCTTCGGCAGAGAGTCTCGAGAGTCTGACAAAAATCGAGCACCCCCAGAAAGCCGGGGGGCAGAATGTGCTGGGGGATTGGTGGGAGATGGGACTGAGCCGCTGGCCTTGGAGCTGTGTCGCCACTGTGCTAAGGTTAGAGCAACCTGAGGAGATGTGGGGTGTGCTGCCAGCTTGAGTCCAGCCAAGGAGTGTCCTAGGCTTCGAGAGGCTGTTTGACTCCAGCTAGCGTTAAGACTCGGTCCAAGCGTTAAGAGACAGATAGGAGTTGACTGGAAGTTTATTAGGGGATGTTATCTGTCTGGTTTTCTGGTCATATAATGGTCAGTATTTACGACCAGGCAAATGTTGTATCCCGTATACAGTGTGTCATTTCCATGTGATACTCCATGGTGTGTATCACGTTGTCATTTTATACTAGTAGAGGAGGAAACGTTGGTGTAGGTTTTGCATCTGTAAAAGGCACCATTCTAATATCCTAGTGCTGCAGCAGCTGTGTGGGTTTGTACAGCATAAAAGAGCTCTATAGTGAATATAAGTCATGTAGCAGCTTGCTTTGCTTATGATGTATAGTTGGAGCCATAAGCTAAACAAATACAGTGTTCCCAAAGTTCAAAGCACCAGTAAACTCTATTTTACAAAGGCTTATTGACTTCTGCTGGGAAATTTGGCTTATCCTATCCCCTTGAGTATTATTCCTGTTTACTCTGAGCTATTTTTGTTAGTATGATTTTGAGCTGTTATAAGTCTTTACAATTAACTGGAGGTGTATCTTGTACTGTAAAGAAGAATTTTAATAACTCTAGATAAGAACTTCCCATTACATCTGTGCAGAAAGATTTTTTTTCTCTCTCWCTTTTACAGAATATACWGAACTGCCTGGTGTTCACGTTAGGCTGTTTACCACTGCTGCTGTCTGGTTTTGGACATGTGGTCTTGTTTCGAATTTTCTAACATTAGTGCGTGTATCTTTTGCTACTACAGAAACTGCTTCTTGAAGTGTTATTCTTAAATAAGATACTAATCTGAAATCAGTTTATATAAATAACATACATACTTAAAAGTGACCTATTCTTGACTTTGTGCTTCCACAGAACCATTCTCATGATCATTTACTTGATGCCAGTGAATCAAAAAAGCAGCAAGCCAACCAGCACAGCTATYGCACCAGATACGCCGCAGAAGAGACTGCCCGGCCTGCAGAAGAGCTGGAAAATGGGCACAGCTCCTCGGATGTAAGAGTCTCAGGCATGAGGCGCTGCTGCTGCCTCTGTTTCTGTCTGTTAAAGCTCCCTTGTCAGCTGATCAGATGCTCTTTCTAGCAGAAATTTAGGATTTATTTTCATTGTGGGTTTTCTTTCTTTAAAAATGGTTATTGAGTTAGGTTTTCCTGTATGGTCCTTATGTCTTTAGTTTTGGTTTAGAATTTATTGTCAAAAATATGACAACACTCATTTGTAAGAATATTTTTCCAGGCAAGTGTTTTTGATATTGAATCTTACCTTGGTGTAAGTTGAAACACAGGCAGTTCCATCTGCACGTGAGGAAGAACTTTGCTGTGAGGGTGAAACAGAGCCCTGGCACAGGCTGCCCAGKGAGGCTGTGGAGTCTCCTTCTCTGGAGATCTTCCAAACCCGCCTGGATGCCGCCCTGTGCCCCGTGCTCTGGGTGTCCCTGCTGGAGCAGGGGGGCTGGACGAGATGATCTCTAGAGGCACCTTCAACCTCAACCATCCTGTGATTCGGTATTTGTGAGCCTAATCGATATGGCAAATATGTTTGAATTTGAGTGGAGATGATTTTAAATTGTGTTMACCTCAGGATTAAAGACTTGCACATAAAAAGGCTATAAAAGTAGCAAGTTTGAATGAACCTTTTTTTTTGTCAGCTACACAGGATGCCAAGTCTGATAAAAGTAAAACTGCTTAAAGGAGACAGATATTTAATAAAAAAAGTAAATTTGCTTCCTGAATGCAAAATGCAATCCCTAGTCAACCGATATATTTATGCAACTTCATTACATTCAAAGCTAAAAGGACAATTTATAAAAAAAAAAAACATATGTGTAAAATAGAGGATACTATATATGGTAGATAGCGATCATATATCAACATTCTGATTTTTCATTTGAGATGGGAGAGATAAATGGGGTGTACTTGTGTATGTGCACATACGTAGACACAGACTAACACAGCATGAAGTGATGAACGGTATTTAGAGGAAGGGGCATAAAGGTGAAGTGACTTAAGGTCAGGAGAGCTAAGATTTGCTGGGGATGTTTCAGCTGTCAGAGTCTGAGAACATTTGCTCTCTAGACATTGAGRATTGGTTGGAAATAGACACAAGTCTGCATGTGTAGCTAAAATGAAATGAGTAATAAGAACATACCTAAGGCATATCCTGATTTTCATTTGATAGAATTTCCACATCTTTGGAAATACAAATATTTTTCGTTTAGCTTTCATTTAAATAAGTCAACTAAATTGAATATATGCAAATTAAAGTTTTTTTTTTTTTTAAATGCAAAGCTTCTCTGATACATATACAGAGAGCCTGAAAGACTGTTAGTCATATTGTCCTATGTTACTATTTTTCCGAGGAAAATTCTGTTTTTTTAATTCTGACGTCTCCTTAGGAAGGAGAAGCAGTTGTTGCCAGTGGTGGGACATCAGAAGATGATGAAAGAGCGTGGCACAGTGATGGCAGCTCTAGGTAAGTTACAGTATATCTTACAGAAAAAAAGGCCTGCTGGAAAATTTTGTAGCCCTTTTCTGTAAACAGTTAGTTAGGATTAGTAAACGCTTGCTGTCTGGGCTGTGCAAGTGCCTCTGCTGACTCTTGGTTTGCAATTAGAGAGCAAAGATTGAGATAGTTTAACCCTTGATTTCCTCTTAATGATAAAGAAATAAAGTGGATCAAGTGCTACCTCCTTGACCTTAGTATGTTTTTGAACTTCTGTTTAAAGATCTTCAAACAATATCCAGAATGAAAAATTTTCTTGAACTGACAAAGTGAACATCGGATTCATTTTCTGTAATACCAGAAGCTGAGCATCTTACAAAAAATCTTGAAGTGATTCAGTCTTATTTTACAACTGCTGTAAATATAGTGTGAATATGAGATTTTAGATACTGCTTTTCAATTTTAAAATATTGTAGTTGGCTAGAGCATAACTCTAACATAATCTGGCATTGAATTATATTATACAAACCATGGTGTTGTGAATTGATTTCAGTTTCTGTTTCTTTCTTTTTTCTTTGACTTTCCACCCCTAGTGACTATTCTAGTGATTATTCTGACTGGACGGCAGATGCAGGGATCAACCTGCAACCACCAAAGAAAATCCCTAAACTCAAAACAAAGAAAGCAGAAAGCAGTTCAGAGGATGAAGAAGGACCTGAAAAGCAAAAGAAGCAAATTAAAAAAGAAAGGAAAAAAGGGAATGAGGAGAAAGATGGACCAACAACATCACCAAAGAAGAGGAAACCCAAAGAGAGAAAGCAGAAGGTTAGATCTACTTTAGATATTGCTAGATCCTTACTYGTACTGTCATAAAAATAATCAGATGACTGTTTCAGTTATGTATACAACTGAATATTATCCAATTTGCTAACACATCTTGACTTTTACAAGTAATTAATGTTAATGATAATTACTGCCTCTTACAAGTCAAATGAAGGATTGCTGTAATGACACCATTTCTAATTTGAGGTGTTTTACTTAACACTTTGAATATCCTTAACACCGTATTATTTCAGACCAGAAATTTCCATTCTGCAGATGTATTGAGTATTGATGTATGTCTGTGTCTTTTAAGCTGGACTGCTTTTAGGCTCGCCCAACCCTAGGCTTTCTTCTAATTCCATGGTGTATGCTGCTTGCACTGTGCTCAGCATAAACCACATCAAGAGCAATTTCTCTTGATCATAATTTTTTGTTTGATTTTGCTTGTTTTCTAACATGGCCATGTCGTTCCTGTTTGCTGCACTGCGTGAAAGTTTTCTGTGGCTTTTGTTTTTCTTGTTTGTGTGCATGTGAAGTGGATGTTAAATTCAGTAAACTTGGTTTCTTGTTTCCTCATAGAGACCATACGTGATATGTTTGGTGGCTAATGGCTTTCATAAACTTGTAGCTTGGATTTTTGTATTATCTAAGGAAATAACTGTATTATCTCAGCAACCAAATATCTTACAAAATTAGGAGGTCCTTASAATCACTAATTCAGCATTTTGTCCKACATTAGAATGGAGAAGGTAGGCTGGCAAAAAGCTGCTTCAAGATGCAGGTTGCCATAGCATTGGCTAACACGTGAAGTGCAGGATGCCAGGTGGCAATCCTTACTCTTTGATTAGGCTTTTTTAATTGGATGCAGTCACTTTTGTAGTACTGTTATTAACAATATCTTGGTATTTATATAGGCTGGAATCAGAATTCTCATGAGTAGTAGGGTGGGTTTTGCTGTTGTTTCGTTTTCTTCTTTAATGAATGAAGCCTCTAATTTAGTCTTTACTATCATAGATAAGGCTGAACTATGTGATCTGTAGATCTATAGACCTCTGTAGGAGGTCTTTGATTCCAAAAACATCCTGGCTTAATGTATTTAGACATGACCTAGTGCAGCATGCACAAAACATGCACCTTTTTTCTCATGCACAAAATGCTAGGCTGGAGGGACTATCTRGACCTGTCCTACCTGAGGGGTGCTTGTCGTCGAAGTCTCCTGTGGCTGAGAGCCCCTGGCACCTTYCTGCAGGTTGTTCAGAGAGCTCCTTGGCCTGCTTGATAGCAAGTTCCTCCTGTTACTGCACCTGAATCAGAGCGAGGTRGTATCACTGAGGAATGAGGCCTCTGAGGGCTGCCCCCCTACGGAATGGTAGGAGTTGAGGAAAATAAGCAGAACATCATCCTTCTCCATAGCTGCTATCAAGGTTACCAGATCTTGAGGAGTGCTTACATTTCTAATTCTAATTCTTGACCAAAAGTCAGTTTAAAGCAGGATATAAAAGGAAAGAAGGCTAGGACAAGATCAGGAGTTTATTTTCTGCATTGAGGCAGGTAAAATAGACTGACTTTCATTGTTAGATGAGAGATATTGGGATGAGGTGGTATGCTTAARAGCTTTAATGAAGCTGTGAATGGTTTAGAAGGTAATAAATGCAGAAAGGTTTCTTCCCTTTCTCACTGTGAGGCATCCAATGACACAGAGACATCAAGCTCAGAAAAGAACAGCCACCCCAAACAAGCAACCCCCAGAAGAACCCAAACCAGCTGAGCATGGAATTAGTTTGTGGAGCTAAATACTAGCAGAAGTTGTAGGGTTTTGGAAATGATTAGGTAAATTCACTGAGATTAGTCTCTTCCTCATTATTAAGTGCTATTATTGAAAGCTTTTCAGTAAGAATTCACATGAGCAATACTTTCCTTTTTACACTATAATATATTTAAGAAATAGCATTTGTCTTTAATAGTATACTTGCCAAAACACAGCAATTCCCCAAACAATAGTTCTTGTTCATGCTCATTTTCCCTGTGCCTTTTCTGCAGAGGCTGCCTGTAGGAGTTTTGGCAGAAAATGGTTTGACACTGGAAGAATGGCTGCCCTCAGCATGGATTACAGATCCCATTCCACGGCGATGCCCATTTGTGCCACAGATGGGGGATGAGGTATTGTAGTTTTTCTTCAGTATTCTTGCTTCTTTTAGCATATTCTTGCCTTTTTTGGCTTCATGCAAACACTTTTTCAGAGGTTAAATACCATTTATTACCAGAGTATTTTGAATTGCCCCTAAAACATACATTGATTATTCCAGTTTTTYTTTCATTTTAAACCGTTTTTTTTTCTCATCACTTTCAGTATTCAAATCTTTCCCGTACTTGAAAGGCTTCTGTGCACAGTGTTGTATTTGGCTGTTTTTATTCCGTGCTATTACAGTAATATACCTTRCTATGCTGTGTTCAGCATTACTTTCTTTATGACATGCTTATACAAACTGCTTTAAGCATGAAATGCTCCACCTAGTGAAGTTAGTCCTTAATTTTAGGGAATCCTGTATGCTGAAGAATATGTAAGAAGTCTAATAAGAACTTAGGCGTTCTTCARAATGCTTCAGTTTTGGACAGAAAGACTTCTCTTTGAAAAGTAAAACCCTGGAATGAAACATTGTATTTTTAGAAAATACTGGAGGAATTGGTACTTCTGAAAACCTGATGTATTCTAGAGAGGTTCTTGAATTTCCAGCTTCAGAAAGCTTTTGTTATTTTCTTGGCATGAAGAACCACAAGATAAGTTTATACCAAAAATGGTACAAAAGTCTCGCGATACAGTAGTAGTAAGGAGGCACACMCCAATCACTGCTTTTGAATATATAAAATATGGGCGGCATAGTGAATTTCATGGAGAAATAGTATCAGATAGAAGACAGTCGTGAAAAGTAGAGCCTGTGAATGTTTCCCAAATTCCCTCAGATTCAAATAGAAGGAAGTAGTTGCCTTATGAGGAGCCCGTTGGCTCTTGGGGGAGCCGTTTCTGAGGAACTGAATGGGGGCTCTTGGGTGCATCACATCCTGGGGAAACAGTTAGAGCCCCGCGGCGCTTGGTGACCCCTTGGAGTCCCCTGCCGAGCTGCAGTGTTGGTGAYTGCCACCTTGGAAGGTGTGTGAGGGGCTGTGGCTGCACGTGCCGCTTGCCTTGGGCCTTACTAGGTGCCTTCTTGGATCCTGGTCCCAGTGCAGCTGCACAGGGATTGCCTTGGCCTCGCTGCCTGAGCAAGGGTGGGAGTGTTTCAGGTTGGTGGTAACACCTGGACAGAGTGGTTGGGTCACGGCACCTGCCCATAGGCCTCTCGGGGGCGTGTGCAGGCCGCAATGCCGAGTCCAAGTGAAAACGTGTGGGCCCTGAGGCCTSTCCTGCGGAGCGGCCACGGATTTCTGCGTGCCCTGGGACCCACCGTCGTGTCCTCCAGCAGCTCAGTAAGATCGACTCTTGTGTTCGGCTTGGCACCCACTCRGTAGCTTTACACTGAATAGTTAAGTAGAGTGTGATTGATTGCAGAAAAAAAAAGCTTCATATCGGTTAGAAGGAATTTTCCTGGCCTGTGCCTAGAAAGTACAGAGTCAAGTACATTTGTAATCAAGCTGCTTACTCTAAAACCCCATCTCTGACTACTTACCCATCCTACGTTTGCTTGCAATGCTAAAAGCTTGAAAAGCTACTTTTGAGTTCCACACAAGTAAAGATATATAAAAGATGATCCTCATCGGAGGAGCATGGTGAGAGAAGAGGTCTCATGTTCCCTTTGAGCATTCTGGTGGGATGGTTGAAACCTTCTGTAAGATTTGGGAGGAGAGAGGTTTCAAACTTCCCCTTTCTACAACAGTACAAACGGTGGGGAAACAGCTGTAGTCCTGTGTTCAGTTGTACACAGTGTGTAAGAAGAGCACGTGTGCCCCCTTCTTCCCTTTCTGAGTAGTGCCATTTACMGACCAGACCAGTGGAAACGTAGCAAAATTGGCCAGCATGATTGCCCAAAGAGAGTAAATGTGCATTGTAATATTTTGCTGTTTGCTCCATGAGGAACAGCCGGWCTCAGTCCTACAACAAATTACGTGGAAACAGGAATTTACTGCGGTAAAAATACAATTTCCTGGAAAAAGACACTGGTTCTTTTTGCCTCAAATGTTCTTCTCATTAGTTGTTTTGAAGGGAGATGTAATGCTTGTAGCCATGTACAAAAGCAAAAACAAATTCATTTTTTAAACAGTGGGTTGAATKTAGGCAGAGATTTAGCTCAAACAGTTAAGTGTAGGAGAAATTGTAGCCCAAGCAACTCAGTGAGTTATTTTGTACTTGAAGATGTGTTTTTATGGGAAACAATTGTCACAATRTTGAAAGTGTAATTTAAATTGATACTGTTCTAGCTCTGTCATTCTGTAGGTTCTTTTCCTCTTCCCATCAGTTAGATTGTTGAAGTATGTAGTAGTTTCTCAGATTTCATGCTTCCTGTAATTACCGTGCTCGTTTTTTCCTAGGAGGATTCTTTGTATGTCAAATACTCTGAAAAACAAGGTTGGAAAATTTTGAAGCTTAATGTGAAGCTATAGGGTCCCCCTCCATTAAAAAAAAATGCTGGTAAATGACACTAAGAAGGTTCCATAACTACAAATGTAGAAAGTAGTTGGCAAATTTTTTTTTTTGTAGTATTGCAAGATTTTGCAAAGCTTGCACAAAGGCAAGTGGGTTTATTTGTATAAAAATCCCCTAAAAACTGTTCATTGCATAATTTCTGAGTACCTGTGATTTAAGCATGAAAAACAGAGAGCAAAAATTAAGTGATGGRTGAGAATAAAGGCAGCGCGTGGCAGGGGATGTGGGCAGCTCAGCTTTGGTCGGCTAACTGTTACGTTTCACTCGCAGGTTTACTATTTCCGACAAGGTCACGAGGCCTACGTTGTGATGGCTAAAAAGAACAAAATATATAGCATCAACCCCAAAAAGCAACCCTGGCATAAAATGGAATTGCGGGTATGACTGTTTTGTTTTTTGTTTGGAGTCATGATAAAAAGTTTGGAAAGTAACTGGAAGAGGATTCTTGATATCGGTGTTGCTATAATATTTTAAGATATGAAAAGTTAAATGACAGGCCAGGAAATTCAGAGTTAATGCTGTTTTCTGTGATCTGATGAGCAAATATCGCTGTTATGCTGTATGTGGTTATTGCTGTGGTTATACCTCAGCACAAACATAAAAATATGTCATATTGGAAAGCAGTTTTTTGTTTAAGAGAACAGACTTTAGATACTTGTTTGGGCGTGGTCTGACAGAAATCTAGTGTTTTTGGTACACTCATATTTTAGTGTTTCAGAGAGTCACCTTAACTTGAGCAGTACTSCATAACCTTCTGTTTGTTTCAGGAGCAAGAGCTGATGAAAATAGTCGGTATTAAGTATGAAGTGGGCTTGCCAACTCTCTGCTGTCTCAAACTAGCTTTTCTTGACCCGGACACGGGTAAACTGACTGGAGGATCATTCACCATGAAGTAAGAGAAGCACCATTCAAAGCACTATTTATATTCAAAATGAGACTTTGTTGTTGGTGGTGTTTTTTTGTAATTTCTTTGTAATTTCTTTTTTATTTGATGATACCATTAAGGATATATCTTGAGCTTTTTCTTTCGAAGTGTTGAAATCAAGTGTGTTCAATTGTTAATAATGTAATTATTAATTATCTGTTTGCTTTTACTATTTTACCACTTAATAGTCTCATCCTCTGTTGTAATTAGGTACCACGATATGCCTGATGTCATAGATTTTCTAGTCCTGAGGCAGCAGTTTGATGATGCAAAGCATAGGCGGTGGAATATAGGTATGTGAAGAGTGTATTTATTTAATTATCTATTTATCCATTATAACTTTTTAAAAAGCAGGCTGTGGCAAATTAAATTGAAATACCAGACTGGAATTGGAGAAAAAGGTCTCTGCTTTTAGATACAGGGTCCCACTTCACCTTTGAATTTAGAAATGACCAAAGTATTAATGGTATTGTGTCAAAGAAATTAAGTACAAAGGAAAGGTTACCTGTTTTGTTACCTGTTTGCAGGGAGGAATTAAGAATGTATATGTATATGTTTTTAAAATATGGTCTTTCCTGGGAGCTCATTTATTTTATTCTATATATCATTTGTTTCTGTAGTTTAAAGGGCCTTTTATGACTAGATCACTACTAGAAAAAATGTCTATCTTCAGTCCTGTTCATTTGTGGAAATACAGCAACATTTTTCAAGCATTTGAAATTTATGAGTCTAAGGAGTTTGCATAAGAAATATGCCCTTGCCATCTCTTTTTGCTCATTTAAATTCCCTTCTCAACTCCATATGTCTGAGCATCCTTGGAGTGTGTATCGTTACAGTACAGAACTGCACGATAGGGGCGCGTTGCCTGTTTGTTCTCTTTGCTCAGTTATTTCAAAGTGGTGGATCCTGGAGAGGGTCCATTGCAGGTGTGTCCTGCAGTCAGGTCTTTTTCCTGGACATCTTTGGATGGGAAGGTTCTATGGGAAAGACTACCGTTTAACAAGGAATCCTTAGCAAAAGACTCATATAATAAAATTATTCTCTAGTCGTCTTGTCTCTCTCTCTCTCTCTCTTTTTTTTTTTAATGACATATGTTCTCATTCCCAAGAACAACCTTAGATGGCTTTTTAAACTGAAAAGATTTAAACTGAAAAGATTGAGAGATTGAGCAAGTATTATTGACTCTTCAGAGTTGAGGGTAGTTGGTCACTGTTCCCCTAATGAAGCTAAGTGAAGAGGTGGCTCAACTGGATKTTGAAAACTCTTTTATATTACTTCTTTATCAGATATTTTTGCCAGGAAAGATGGACTGATCCACCTATCCTCTGTACGTCATGATGTCCTTGCTTAACTCATGATGCCTTCTCTTCTCCAGAGAAAACAGGCCCCGTTCACTCAGTCTCTCCTCATACGAGAGATGTTCCAGTCCCTTAATCATCTTAGTTGCTCTTCTGTGGACCTGCTCGAGAAGCTCCACGTCCCTCTTATCCTGGGGAGGGACACAGTATGGAAATACTCCTTGAAGATAGATCATCCTTTCTGTTTGGGAGTATATGCTTTACTGTGAATGAAACTGGTCCTGCATGTTGAACCGTTTGAATGTGAAATCTTCAGATTGCTTCTGATCTGCCCCAGGTCTTGTGAACTGCTATGGTGGCTCTTCAGCCACAAACTGATCATCTTTGCAAATCATGCGGCTGCCAGTTTGTCTTCTCAGGACTCCTGTCACTATGTGTTTTATTACTCTGTGATTTCTGCCACTTAGTCTATAAATCAGTGTTTCTATAGCTGTTAAYTGTACAGGTCCAATTGTACACTGGTTAGGAAGTAATTCGGCCTACATTTTTGTAGGTTATTAAAGCACTGAGCTTTTTAAACTTTTCCAACCTTGTCCTATATGGTTTGACTTTCATCATAGCTTAATGATAGCAATCCTTGGTAACATTTTTTGTGGTATGTTTTTTGTATTTGCATTTTTAAGAAACACTTTTCCTAAACTGCTATCTATCTATCCATAAAAAGATCATAGGGTTCTTTGGTATTTATATATATATATATATATGTATATATATATATATGCAAATAAATGCTTTTAGAAAGAAACTTCTAAACTTTGACAAGTGATACTGCTCTATTTTTACTGAGATTCTCATTGCATATATTGGTTGTATTATTACATATAGTTTCACAAGAGTGCTAGTACTTGGGCTAAACCTCTTCCACTTAGATTGCTGCAGCTTTTGTCTTAGACAGGTGGGAATGTCTGTTCCTTATGCAGCAGCCACTGTAAGTTCAACGTGCATTTCATCCAGCTGACATCTTCATCTTTGTAAAAGCTGATCCCTAGGGAATGCCATGGAGCAGCACTTTCCTTTACAGCTCTTAGAAGTGGCTCATGCCTATGAAATAAGCAAGGCCTAACTGCTACTTACCTTATCTATTTTTTTTAGATACTTCACATACTTTGTTCTGTTACATTCAGCACAATTTGGACTATTAATGAAAGCTTGGTGTTTCTCCTGGCATTAATTGCAATCCTTTAAGTTAAAAAGAAAAATGTCCGGAAAAGAGGAATGTTTTGGGAAGTCTATATAATTGCTAATACTGCAGGCATCTGCAGCAGACATTTGGACAGGATTTTTTTCTCTTCATGTGGATATATAGAAATAGAAAAACATTGCAGCAGTTGAGAAAGTGTGCCTATGTTCCTCAGATTCCATTAAAAGAAAGTGCAGTTCTTGAAATATCAAATTTAAATTACCTTTAAAGAGATTACATCTGTTTTTTCATTAGTCATGTCACCTGTGTAGTAAAGGAAGTGAACCTTTGAGTTAAATTAAGGAGCTGTTTACACAAGGAGATAAAAAAAACCTCACACTTAGACTCAGAAGAGGAATTGAATAACATGTAGAAGTATTCCCCATACAGAAGTGTCACAGAATGCAGTTATTTAAAGGAAGCATGGAATATTTAATACAAGTAGATTTTAGTTTTGAAGGAGTCACAGTATTGAAATGTCTTAGTTTCATCTGCATTTAGGAAGTAAATTTATATGAATTGGTTGTGTGAATATGTGCAAATCTTTAATCATTTTTGTGTTAATAGCTAACTGCTTTGTTGTGGTTTTAAAGCAACCTCCAGGAAGAATCTACTAGTATCATTAAGAAGATGTGGTTGTAAGATATATATGCCTGTTGGTGCAAGTGTTCCAAGGGATTTGTGTTTCCAAGATCAATCTAGGGGTGTCTAAAAGCTGCTTTTGGTGAGAGGAGTGAGGTGCCTTGTACTGAGGACATCACTTTGTGTTCCTGCCCAGGTGATCGTTTCCGGTCGGTGATAGATGATGCCTGGTGGTTTGGAACAATTGAAAGCCAGGAGCCTCTTCAGCCGGATTATCCTGACAGCCTCTTCCAGTGCTACAACGTCTGGTTAGCAAACTTCTCTTCAGTCTTTTATTTTCATTAGATAYTCCATTGGATATACTGATTGTGGCAACCTGCTTTCATTAAATTCAGTCATGCATCTCACTGTACTAGCTTATTTTAAAACTTTATTGTATATAGACATGTTGTTATTACAGTCGTTAACTAATTATGTTGTTTAAGCACCATTAGTAGGTAATTTTACTGTGGTTATTTTTAAGCTGGGACAATGGGGATACCGAGAAGATGAGTCCTTGGGACATGGAGCTGATACCCAGTAATGGTACGAAACATAATCATTTAATTTGCCTAAGGAGGGTGGATAAAAATGATGGAAACTGTTATCACCAAAGTAATGTATATCTGTTGGACAGGAATGGGTGGAGGGGAGGAACCCACAAATCATTTGTATCTGAAGATCATAGTTRTATTGGGTTGCAAGTAAATGAACTGAATGAACTGCAGTCTTCCCTTGGAAAACAATGTGTGTGTTATATATAATTTATTTTATTTATTTTTGTATATAAGTGTGGCTGTATGTTGGAAGTAGCTAGAAATGCTACTAAAGTTATGAAACATGGTCTTTTTGTGCAGTTAGAAAGGCTTGAAGGTGAATCTGTGCCCCGCATAAGCTTGGGGAAGGCTGGATGCTCTGAGACCTGTGAGCGAGCCGCAGATGTTCAGTGCATTGGAGCTGCAACGCGGATCCGTGCACACTGGTGGTCTGCTCATAGTAGAGTTTGCTCCCTGCGTGGTCCAGAGCAAATCTTTGGGAAGATCAAGAGCTGTGGATTTCTGTCGTTTAGTAGAATGATATTTATCTTCGTGTTGTTTTTTCTTGTTTGAAGAAAACAATACGTATATTGGTGTGTGCATATATTAACAAGATTACATAAGATGCTTTATTTAGTTTTCATGCTTCATTTTAGCTGTATTTCCAGAAGAACTGGGAACAAGTGTTCCTTTAACAGATGATGAACGCAGGACGCTGCTCTACAAACCTCTGGATGGGGAGTGGGGTTCCAGGACCCGGGATGAGGAGTGCGACAGAATTATCGCAGGCATCAACCAGCTCATGACTCTCGGTAAATGCCAGTTAATCCAAGAAACAGCCTTGCCTTACATTTTGCAGACCGTGCTGGTGTGTGCTTTCAAATTTGCAGAAATCAGTAACTGCTGATGCTGTAAAAGCTATACTTTTATCTCTTGGTGAACTAAAACAAGTCTTTTGTAATGTGTAATTTTTTTAGATTTTTTTATAGTTCAAGTATATTTAAAATCTAAATTTTCTCTGATTTTCAAAGATAACTAATTTTTGATAGAATTATCCATCAAAGATAACTAATTTTTGATAGATAATTTGACATATGCAAGATGCTTTTATTTATTTTTAATGCTAAAAACAAGTTCTTGATTTCAGAATTTGGCTACTAGTATCCGTGGGGTAGGATTAAAATTATCAGCCTTATGATAAACATAACATTAGTTATACAACAAGCAGAAAGAAGACTGCTAGGTATTTACCTACAGAATGGACACCCATATGTAGATTTCTCCTTTATTGGCCTTTTTAATTCTCTTTTTTACTTTTYCCACATCCACTGACTTGTATCTGAACAGCAGAAGAGATGCTTATTAAAAGCAAAACGTTGAGGGTAAAGTAATTGATTAACTTGTGAAAAGTCACTGTGTGTTAACAGGCTGTAGAGCAATTACTCTTTACAGCCAACTTTTGGAAAAATTGTCCTAACTGAGACATTCACATGCTCACAGAACGGAATATCAGAAGGAGGTCTGCTAGGCAGGACGTAGGCAGGACCTGAGCTGAGTTTTGTGCTGAGTGCACCCTTGGACAGCAGCATTAACCATTTGGGTAACGTGGTCAGTAGCTCCCTGAATTGTCAGGGATTTTTGTTTTAAACTGTATCCGAAGTACGTAATGAAAGGCAGAACACTATTCAAAACAAATTCTCCCAACTCCTATATCTTGAAATATTTTTAATACCTAGATAATTTGCATATGATTTATTTGGTGACAGTTTGCATAAGAGATGTATTTTTGCTRTTGAAAGACAGTATCTATAACACTGTATTAATCCAGATTACAGAATTATACAAAAATGTGTAAGAGAGATTTTAATTGTTTTCATTATGCATACCATTCAGCAGTAATGGTTTTATATTTGCAGTATGTCAAATGACATACTGTTTAGCTTGGGATTTAATGATAATATGTATGGTTCTTATGTGTACAGGGTGCCAGTTGCTAGAACATGCCTAAGAGCAAGTAAATAGTTTGTAAGAGAAGAACGATCTGTTTAGCAACAATGTGTCTTCTGTTTTTAAAGACTTTAGAGGGACTTCCAGGTTTAAAATTGTTTTTATAATCCCACACCTCAAGAAGGAAATACAGGAAGTTGGAATGATGTGCCCGAGCGCATGTGATATTTCCAACCCTAGGAGGAGAAAAAGGAATTCTGTAGATATAGAGACTAAAACTGCAGTAGGGGTTGATTGGCTTGGGAAGGCAGCTTTGTGTTTTGTGGGACCAGGAGGYTATGGCTCGGTTTTATTTTGTGTGTTGTTTTGTTTTTGTACTTTACTGTCTTAATGACACCAAAATCAGGCTGCAGCTTAGTGATAAGAATTTAACTAATTGCTTTTTTTGAAATTGGGAGAGTAGCGATATAAAATGAATTAAAATTAGTCCGTGTTGTACTAACCTTGCTGAGCTTCATATCTTAATTCTGTTGGGTAATTGCTGTGTGTTTCAAACGTGCAGAAATACCATGTTGTGCAGGTGGGGGGCTCTTAAGACTGCAATAGGGGATGGGTTTGTGTGTATGACTGAACTTTCTGTCTAGATATTGCGTCTGCCTTTGTTGCACCTGTGGATCTTCAGGCCTACCCGATGTACTGCACTGTCGTGGCCTATCCCACCGACCTCAGTACCATTAAACAGAGACTGGAAAGCAGATTCTACAGGTTAGATCAAGTCTGAGTTACTACTGCGAAGCACTGTCARCTCTATTTTCAATAACTGCTGTCTTGTAATTCCTGACTAGGAGATGGGTTCGGCGGCTCTCTTTCCATTCATCTCACCTGTCCTTGAGCTGGGTTTTCATTTGATAAAACATTAAATGGGATTGAAAATCTCTTCTGCAAAATTCATTTTAGAACGACATGGTATGCAAGCTTGTGCTTATACAAATAAGCCAACTCTGTGTGAGACTGAAATTGCTGGAGCAGAGCTTAGGTCTTTAAAGTGATTTTAGTCAAAAGAATTCTGTTTCCATTTAATTATTTTTTCAAATTTAATAGGAGAAACCTTACATGTAAATCATTACTTACCTTCTGTACTTTCTACAAAGTAAAAAGATTTTGCAAAATCTTGCATTGTTTATTTAGATAAGCACACAGAAAAGAAAGCTTAATAAAATTTAGAATGTCAAGGCCAATCATTTATGTTATTTGGTTGGATAGTAACGGGAAATAACTGTTGATGAACCTTTTAACCTTCAAAGTTATAATTACAAGCAATTCTTTTGTGGTTGTTTTTATTTATTTTGTAGTAAATGTAATCCAAATTGGAKCATATTGCTTTAAAATACTTGTTTTCTTCGGATTCTTAAAAAACATCTTATTTAAAAAGTRTTCTCCCTCTACTGTTTCTATTGGGCATATAGGGATGGATAGACAGTTCATACTGTACTGCTTGGTAATCACAAGCGGCAAGGAATTTTTGAATCATTTTGTTTTATTTGATCAAAATTTGATGGACTGATTAAAATCAGTTATTTTGGTAATTAGCATAACTTCTTTAGTTAACCACTTCTTACTGGTTTGTAGTATTGCCAAAACCCAGCAGGTAGGAGGAGTGCTGTATTCTGCCCTATATTCTGTTTCCCAGTTAAATGTTTTTCTTCACGTTCGGCAGGAGGGAATGTTGATACCGCCTGTGATGTCCTGGGTAGCTGTTCATGAGGCTTACCTGAGAGCGTGTCCTTCCGTGTGAAACAGGGAATTTTAGCATAGCTGGATGTAAATAACAAAACAAACCAAGCAAACAAGAAATATCCTTCGGTCCCCATCATTTCTTCATATTTTAGACCTAAATATTGGACCTGCAAGCATAATTGAATTGCATCTAAACGCTTACATTAAACATGTTAAATGGTTCCCCACTTCCCTCTACTCTTYAAAAACAAACTGGGCAGAATTTTCCTTCATTTATTGCATTTTGCTAGTATAGAAGTGGAAGTTTATATATATATATATATATAAAAATTTATATATATGTATTATATATACTTATATGATATATAACTATATAATATATATGTTATATATAACATATATAATATAAAACATATATGAATTATATGATATAATTTTAATTTAAAATCTTTTTATTTTTTCACCTATTTTTATTTGAATGTGCAAACCTTTTCTTRACTGTTGTTATTCTGCAGTGAGGTCATTAAATCAGAGCTACATAAAGGGTGCTGGAGAACTCTGATCATTGTCCAGCTGTTGGGAAAAAAACGTGTAATTTTGGTGCATTTTTAGCAGTCTATTTCAGTCCTCRGCTGTGGGTGCCGAGGTGGTTTGTGCTGAGTTACGCACATCATAACGGGGTAATAACCGCCCCGGGCTGCCGGCTGAATCCTTGCAGGGAGCTCCGGCCGCCAGTTGGGAGGCGTTGGCCTCCTCACCAAGGGGGCTCGGGAGAGCAGGAAGCCCCGGGACGCTGCCGCGCACGGAGCGCTGCTTCCCTAGGAGCTCCTTTTATTCCCACTTAGTGCTGAAAGGGGCAGCGCACGAGGGCAATCGTGTARGGACTTGCACGATGCCGCCGGGCCGTGCTGCTCGGTGCCGCGTTGCCCACCCGTGTGCTCTGCTCTGCTCCCTGCGCAGGCGGCTCTCGTCGCTCATGTGGGAGGTGCGGTACATCGAGCACAACACGCGCACCTTCAACGAGCCCGGCAGCCCCATCGTCAAGTCGGCCAAGTTCGTCACCGACCTGCTGCTGCATTTCATCAAGTGAGTCGCTCGCTCGGCCGCACGGTCGGCCGGTTTGGTTTGGGCTCTTTGAAACGCCGTTTGAAAACTTGGGTGTTAAAACGGGGTGGTTCAAGAGCAGAACAAAGTCTGTGTTGRCAAAGGAAGAGCGCGTAAACGTGCAAAATACAACAGAATTTGTACTGACGCTGATAAAATGCAGGCTAAGAATAAAAGCATTTAATAATGGAAAAAAAAGGTGGATTTTACAGTTCTGAAAAGGTGTTTTGTCATGAGCTTCCAAATATCTTTTTTCAATGAGCATAAAGCCTATGAAGAAGTCATTTAAAGCAGAAATGAACTGACTAAAAGGATGTGTGTTCTGGTGGATTGATRCAGAATATGTTTTTACTTCCAGTGATGGAAGTGGGTCTGAATATTTTTATGCARTGATAGGTACATTTGTAGGTGCTATAAGAGTCTAATTTTAACTTTTAATGCTGCATATATTAATATTATTATGATAATTGAATTCTGAAGTCTTTATAACTGTTACAGCCTGATTGGAAATGGTATTTGGCATACAGATTGAAAAATCAAGAGTCTTTGTAGATGTTTAAAAAAAGGGGGAAATATTGCAACACTTCTGTAATTTTTATAAAAAGTTTAGCATTCTTAATGAAACCCTTTTTGTTTAAAAATCTCTCATTTCACCAACYGGGAAAGGCTGCCATGGGAAAGCAGGTCTCAGTTTAGAAGTGATTTTTTTCATGTGGAGCCATGAAAGGCCTCTTGTTTTTCAGTGGGTTTTAGGTCTCTGTTAAAAGAGAGGTGAAGTTGGTGAGAAACGTGTCGGAGCCTTTGTGCCCCGGTCACGGCTCTGGACCCCAATCCTAGAATCCTTAGGGTTGGCAGGGACCTCTAGAGCTCATCCAGTCCAACCTGCCCTGCTCCAGCAGGGACACCCAGAGCACAGGGCGGCATCCAGGCRGGTTTTGAAGACCTCCAGAGAAGGAGACTCCACAGCCTCCCTGGGCAGCCTGTGCCAGGGCTCTGTCACCCTCACAGGAAAGAAGTGTTTCCTTAAGTTCCTGTGGTACTGCTGGTGCTTCAGTTTGTGGCCGTTTTCTCCAGTCCTATCAGTGGCCACCACTGGAAAGAGGCCRCCCCCTCCTCCTCACTGCCTCCCTTGGGGTATTTATAGASACTGCTCAGGTCCCTCCTCAGCCTCCTCTTCCTGAGGCTGAACAGGCCCAGCTCTCTCACCCTCAGCTCGTAAGGGCTTGCGGAGAGTCTCCTCTGTGTGGATTTTCTTGGGAACAGTGAATGTCCTGTTCCCACCTGGGACAATGACACAAYGTGACATTTTTCATACCAAGGTTCACACGTTGAAAGAGTAAACGCAGTGTAACACGGGGTATTGATTCTTTTGAGTTTTTATTTTGTGTTTTCTAATAAAACTTTTTTTTTCTGATGACTAAGACCACATGTATTTATTTGAAAGTAAGATTTTTGCTCCTTACATAAATCTTTGACGTCATTTGTGCGTTTTGATTTGGATATTAGCGGGAAGGTGAAATACTGGAGAGTGCTTAGAAATGCTTCAGAGGCTGGAAGGTTTAGTGAAGCACATCTTTAGCAATAGGCACACGTCTAAAGAGCTTCCCTACTCCTAATTTTGTTCTCTAATATCTTTGGTCCTCTGTGGCTGTTTTCAGTTAATTAATTAACTCAGGGTTTTTCAGACTGTGCGATTTAAATTGATGTTGTTGAATTAATGCAACAGATGTATATTATTCAATAATGACCTATTACCACTTTAGCTTGTGCCTGTAAATTTTAATATACTTAAGTCAACCAGTGATGCAGATAAAGCCTGGATTTCCAAAGATTTTTAATGATGTAACTTTAGTTAAAAACCACTGTGGGCTGATTCTGTGACTGAAATGGCCGAATGCCTCTGACAGCCAAGGGTTTGGTCTCCAAGTTACTTTAGCCCTTTACCAAACAAAAATCCTACTTGTTTTATTTATCATTATTACTCCCTCTCCTCCTTTACCATYGTATTTACATTAGCATGTATTATCGATACATAACAGTTGCTTACTGTTTATTTTTTAATTTACTTTTATGTCTTGAACTGTTGCATAGTAGAACATCCTTTGGGGTTTGTGTTTTGTTYACTGTTGCTGGGTTTGTAGAAGTCTGACATGCTATACAAGGGCCAAGACTAGATGTATATTTTCCTGAATTAGGTCTATAAATAATGGCAGTCGTAGTCCTTGGAAAAACAATATTTATTTGTCTGCCTTCTTATGTGTGAATATTACATTRCAGTGGTTACTGTAATGGTGTAGGGTCCTTAAAGCAAGAGCCCAAGAGCTTTTTATGTGGTATAGCTTTGTATTTTYCTAATGCTGATAAAATCCATAGTTTAATTTTAAAACCTTGTCACTGTTATGTGGCCTTATATCTTAGGAAGTTCAGGTAATACAGTGCAGCTTTTGGATGAAGATGAGTTTTCCTTACTGCAGTGTTCCTTCTAGTATTCCTGTGGCACTAAGCCCTTCATTCAAGAGTGACGTGATAAACGTTTTCCCTTTCCTAGTCAAAATATAGTTGGCCTTAGAGAGGGAGGTGAAGAGTGGATGTTGACGTGCGTTGTTCTTGTTGCGCAGAGACCAGAGCTGCTATGATATCATCCCCTTGTACAACGCCATGAAGAAGAAGGTGCTCTCCGACTCGGATGAGGTGAGTGGCTCTGTCCTAGCCAGGGGCAGTGATAGGCCACGGAGATGGGGCTGATGCCCCTGCCTGGCTCGATATCAAAGTACTGAGTTCAGTCAGCCTAAGGGCGTAGGGAGTCATTTTCATCATCGATTTCTTCTTGTCAGCCAGGAAACTGGTAAAAATCCAGCTCCCTCTCCTGTGGAGCAGAGAGCTTAAAGCTCTCTTGGAGAATGGAGAAGTTACGGGGGTTCCTTAGACTTCTGAGAGGTTTTCAAACCTGACAGTCACATGAAATGCCTTCCAAAGCACAGGGATGTACTGGCAGAGACTCAATTATAAGTGAAGCTTAAAAGGGCTCGGCTTCTCATRTGTGTTTATATTTTTTTTAACCTTTTTATGCGACTCATTATCTTGCTCAAAGGAAGAAGAGAAAGATACAAATGTGCCAGGGACTTCCACTAGGAAAAGAAAGGTAAGATCCTGTGTTTTTTCATTTTGTTTGGGTAATGATTTTTACCTCTGTAATCAATTTGAAAAGTGTTTGTAAAGAAAAGATTTAAAACCAAAAATGTTTTTTTTATCATATAGTTTCAGCTTTTGGGAAGTGCTGAGCTTCCAGTGACTTAAGTAGTGCTCTAATTGAATGTAAAGATAATTTTCTCTGTGCTGTGGCACAGCTATTTAGAATTTATATTCTGCAGTGTACGTTTTTCATTCCATTTTGTCAGAAAACCTGGGTTTGYTTTATACACACGAGGCAATGTTGTCCTTCCAGGATCACCAGCCGAAGCGGCGGCTGCGGAACAGAGCACAGTCCTATGACATTCAGTCGTGGAAGAAGCAGTGCCAGGAGCTGCTGAATCTCATTTTTCAGTGTGAAGACTCTGAACCCTTTCGACAACCAGTGGATCTCCTTGAATATCCAGTGAGTGTTTTAGAATAGGAAGTTAGGTTTAGAATCTCGCTTTCACTTTTGCTAATTCTGAGTGGTTTTCCAACTCTTCCAACTGAAACTTCAAGCAGCTCTTTATTTTCCAACAATTTTCTTAGCAGTTGGCTTGGCTGCCACCTGCTAATATTGTTTGTCATTGTCTTTTTAAAGAAATTTCACAATAAGCTGTTCCTATCTGTTCTCTTTAAATACTTCAATTCCTAMATATATTATATTGAGGGATGTCTTAGTTCTTGAGTAAATTAAACTTGTGTAATGAAGAATGGCTTCCTGTGTGCAAAGTGCATGTGTGAAGCAAGTACAATATTTAATTGTTGCTTGTGACAAATGTTGTCATGGCACTTTTTTCTTTCTTAAATGGAATAAATAAATAAACTGTTCATAACAGTTATCTGGACTGCTGGAGAAAAATTACCCCCTTTTTTTTTCACGAGTCACAGTTCACAGAAAAATTGTAGTGAAATATTAACTGAAGTAACAATGATTATTTTTTTCCAAATTTCACTTTCTACCTGGGTGATTTCAGTGGAATTCAGACAGCCATGTGAAGCCAGTCATAATTGCAGAGCACTTTTAACACAGAAGTCTTTTTGCCTCGGGTCTCTTTCACTGCGCTAGTTTTACTTCCAATAACAAAGCCAAGTTTCCCCGTGCTTTCTCCCCATCCTATCTTAAATTTTTATTCCAAATATCATTCCAAGGTGATTCATGGAGAGGTAAGTCACTGCCTGAAACCAAGTGCTTTTGGAGGAGGTCACTTTGGTCTGTGTTGCCACCTCTTTAGGCCAGGGGCCTCGTAATGCTGGCTGTAACCYAGAGGAGCTGCCTCTGCAGCTGCAGGGAGCCCCAGTGAGGGGGGAGGAGGCACCTTCCAGCCTCGGGCCTCCCCAGGGCTCGCTGGCCTTTCCCACCTCCAGAGGCACTGGCTCGCACATGCAGCTGCCGTTTGTTCTGATGGATGAAGGTAACCTGTTGTTAAATGGGTATTTGAGCTTTTTGTCATATAGATGTCTCCCTGTTTCCTCAGTAATCTAGGGAAAAAAGCTCCATCATTGATTGAAGGGCCTTAAATAGCCTTGAATTGAAAGCTATTTTGGCCAGCAGACTTCCCATTTGTTTGAGTATTGCTTTCCTAAATTGCCATGGCCCCATTTGGGAAAGCACTCAGGTTTCAGCAGAGAGGTACTGGGACTGGCATCAAGTTCAAAAGACTATTCCCACTTTTTTCTTTTCTTTTTTTTTTTTTTCCCCAAGATACTATATTTTAGGCTTAGTATTAAGTTAAACATGCTATACCATCCAGAGAGCTTTTCATTGAATTTTTATATCTCAGTTTATCTTCATCGTGGAATGTCACTGGTTCAGCAACCAGAAAAATGAGTCATGTATTTTGGTAAATCTGTTTATAAAGTTGATTAGATCTTGTGTGGGTTAGCATTTAAATTGTACCTGTTCAGGGTGTCCACCAGGACTTCGAGTATGTAGGACTATAAGAAGCAAATTTTTTTTAGTGGTCCTATTGGAAGAGGACAGTATGGTTTTGTATCAAAATTACAAAACTTGCTTTAATAAAAAAGATATATCAAGACTTGAAAAAAAATGTAATTGGTTGCTTTGCTCTTTTACAACAGGATTATAGAGATATTATTGACACACCAATGGATTTTGCTACTGTTCGAGAAACGTTGGAAGCTGGCAACTATGAGTCACCAATGGAGTTATGTAAAGATGTGCGACTTATTTTCAGCAATTCCAAAGCCTACACGCCCAGTAAAAGGTCAAGGGTAAGATTTAATTTTTGTGATTTCTGTTTGTAAAAAAGCTTTAACTGAACAATATAAGGTAGAACAACAGAAATACTCTAATCGATTGCCTTGAAAACAAGTTTAATTATTGCTGGTGTTCAAAAGGGAATACTTTTGATTGAATAGTATGGCTTCGTATATAGCTTTGTACAGAAAAAGGATGTACGCTGCTGAAATGTCTGAAGTTCTGATGCTCTGCACACGTAGTTTGAAAATAAATATGAAAGCTCATCTAGAGGGAGAAACACACTGAAGGATTGCTCTGCAGAAATGTGATTGTGTGCAGAGTAGTGACATTTCACTGGTATTTGTGAGAAGAGACTAGATGTTCAGAACACAAAACTCATGTCCCAACTCCTCCAATTCTGAAGTTGCCCAAAACCCAAATAACGACATCTGGTTAAGGTGGAATTAGGAGCAGACAGAAAATTTCTCTGCTGTTCGCTGGTTCATGAGATTGTAGCAGATCCCTTAGGGTAAGGGAGCCGTTTATATGGAATACACCGGGGGAAGCTGCTGTGGGGCTGGTGCTGTGGGGCTGGTGCTGTGGGGCTGGTGCTGTGGGGCTGGTGCTGCGCACGGCAGAGCTGCCGCTGCTTCCCCCAGCTGGGCTCGGGCTGCGGAGCCGGCGGGAGCAGACGCTGCACGTGCTGGTTCCCCCTGTGAGCAGGGAGCTGGGCGGCCCTCACAGATCCTTCTTCTGAGGCCGTGGTTTAGGTGTTGGACAAAATACCCGGATTAGATGAGAATTCACCCTGCTGGTGAAGTTTGGCTGTTGTGAATGGCAGGGGGATTATGAGAACTTTACAGTGCAGGGGCAGGTTCCTTGGTAGGGGAATTAGCAAGGGAGACTGGTCAGTGGTTTCATCAGTGTCCTGCCTTTTGGCCAGCATCAGAGGGCAGGGAATTGCCCCCCATATAAGGTGTATCGATGCAACTTAATGCGGAAGAAAATTGGTTATTTTGACCATAGGTTTGCCAAAGTAAATGCTTTGAAGGGTCTCTACTTACGGTTCTGCTGAAGCTGGAAGGGAATGTGTTCAGGAAAGGCTGCTGGAAAGTGCCCAGGCAGGGATGGCTGCTCAGGTGGTTCCTTCCTCCTGCTTGCAGAGCACAGCCCCAAATAGTCCCTCTTTCTGAGCCGTGCAGCTGGGCAGTGCCAGCCTGCACCTGCAGTGGTGCAAGTTCATGGAGAGCAGCTTTAGGTTTGCCTACAACTTGCCTGTGTTAACAAGCACATTTTTATAGGTACGCTTAATGATAAAGAAGTGTRATGGTGCCTTGGAAGAGCATAGAACTTGCTCATTTGCTGGCTTCTCTTTGTACAGATCTACAGCATGAGCTTGCGCCTGTCTGCCTTCTTTGAGGAGCATATAAGCTCTATCTTGTCAGATTACAAATCTGCCCTGCGCTTTCATAAACGGAACACCATAAAGAAACGAAGGAAGAAAAGAAGTAGAAGCAGCTCCATGTCGAGCAGTGTTGCATCCAGGTACGTCCAGTGTTCATGGAATGTGCTGCAAGTTTGACATACCTAAATTAGAACTTAGGGTTGKTTTTTGGGTTTTTTTTTTTTAATACTTCCTATACTATTCCCTATATTGCAGAGTGATAGATTTGACATGCAAGTCCCTATGATGTGGATGGTTTTTAAACTTTAACTAGTGCTATCCTAGTGCAAGTGCTTAAAATCCGAGTGACTGCTAAACATGTGCAATAAAAGAGCGTCGTTGGGGTAGCGGTGGCATYGTGCTTGCCATGTAACTGCAGCGTTTGCTGTGATCCTTCATTTAAGGTCCGCTTTGCAGAGGCTCACGACTATGTGAATTTCCACAGTAAATGTCATATTTTTAGCATATTTCATACAGACATGATCTGTTCACTCCCTAAATTCAATTTTTATTTATTCCTATAAAATAAAAAAGTGGTCACCCAGTTGACACGCCGTTATTCCTTTTGCAGCCCTGAGAGGAAGAGGAGATTAATAAAAGCTCAGCCGAAGGCGGATAGCGCTGCCCCCTCGTCATCCTCGGCACCCGTGAGGTCGGCCGCCCTGAGACAAGTTCCGGCTCAAGTGAACGGAAAAGCGGCCGAAGCTTCGTCCCTAGTGCGGACTAGGAGCAACAGGGGAGTGACAGACGGGGCTGTCCCGGAGCAGCCCTCCACTTCTGCAGCAGGGAAGCCTGTGAGCATAAAGCCTGTAATTGCAAAGCCAAACACTGCTGCGGYGTCGGGCAAGTCGGGTAAGTGCAAGGGGACAGAGAGCACTGTGAAGGTTTGTGAGCACCAGCCTGGCGCCCTTCCATCTAACTTAACTTGTCTCTGTGAAGGCTGGTCCCAAGTCCTTGAGCTGTAGGACTTTAGGGTTCATCAGAGGAAAGTGAGCGAAATTGTGCTGTGTTGTTTCGCTCATGAAGCCTTTTCACTTCTAGATTACTGCTTGAAACYTTTTCACTCCTAGATGACTGCTTCAGGTTCTTGTGTAGAAGAGCTTGCCTGACTTCTGTTTGAGTTAGAAAAGGTTGAACATGCTGGAATCTCATTRAAAATGATTAATTCAAGTTTTCTCTTTATTTTTGGTCTTTTTAGTACTAGAGAATTCAACCAAACATTCCAAGAACCAGAATATTTTACCAATTCCTACTCAATCTGATTATGGTCATAACACTAGGAATAACACCACAAAAGAAAATCCCGAAAAAGAGAAGCAAATCAAACGCAAAGTCAAGTCATCCACTGTTAATCAACAAGGTAAGGATTTTTTGGAACATTTTATCCCCCAGGTAGTGACACAGCGGCTGCAGTTGCACCTTTGCCTTCATAATTTTAGGGTGAGGAAGTTAGTATGTATTATGATTTAATGGAATAGGAAGGTATAATGGATAGTTAGTTTCTTGCTAGACAATTAGCAGGGTTTGACTTCTAAAACCATATCCATGGTATAATCATACCAGTTTGGGCATGTTAACATATCATAACTTAATTTGGATTACTACAAGTGTGATGTTTTCAGCGYAGGTACAGAAGTGATGAATTCTGTRATTCCAGAGCGCTAGTCTCATGTAATTTTCTGGCTAAGATCACTTGCTTTTCCAAAATGGGGTTAGGTTTTGAGTTTGAACTCAAGGCTGCCGTGGAGACAGATCCCCCAGCTGCAAAGGCTTTATTGCTTATCCAGCAGCTGGGGTACGAACTGTGCTTGCTAGATCTCTACTACTGTGATACTGTACGTTGAGGGAAAAAAAGGGCATTTAACTGTTGTTAGATCTAAATGCCCTGAGATTTACAGTTAGATTTAGATCTAACTGTTGTTAGATCTAAATAGTGTGTTAAATTCTGCCCTGGCATTGGTAGTCCATGCAGAGAACTCCATCCTCTTGCACTCTTGGAGGAACAACTGCATGTGCATGTAAAAAGCCCTAGCTGCTTCTCAAGACAAAGAAGAGTGGAGTGGAATTGTAGTTGAAAAATGATAACTGTAAGTAATGGTTCAGTTCTCAGCAACAGCAGGGGAAAATTTGAGGGCAAAGGTCTCCTCACGTGACCTGGCGTGAARTTTTAAACACACCCATTTTTGTGGACAAATGCTTTCCAGGATTCCGCCTGAGCCGAGCATTTATTTGGCATGGAAAGCAGAGAGGTTCCACAGTGTGCCAGGTGGAAGTGCTGCATCCCACAGTACTGGCTGAAGCTTTATTTGTAGCTCGTCGTTGGGTCTCAGCTTTTGACAGTCTGGCAGTCCCTGTTTATCATTTTATTGACACTGCTTATCGTTTTATTCGTGGTTGTCATGTTACCGGCAGTGTTTCATTCGCGGTGTGAGGGCGGGCGCGGGTGCCGCGGCGCTGACTCTCGTCTCTCCGCGGCAGAGGGCAGGAYGGGCGCCGTGGCGGCCGGCAGCGTCCAGGTCAACGGGCACGGGGGGCCCCCCGCGAAGCCGCCCGTCAAGAGGGGGCCCGGGCGGAAACCCAAGGTGGAGACCAACTCCACCAACAGCAGCTGCCAAGTGGTACACAAGAAAAGAGGCCGAAAACCCAAAAAGCTGCAAGTTGCTGAGCAGAAGGTTGCGGAGCAGAACGCGGTCCAGCCCACGAGGAGTCCACCGGAGGAGGCGTCGGCCTCCACTGCGTCGTGCAATTCCCTTTCTGAAAACAACGTGAAGGAAGACTTGTTGCAGCGAAAAGGCCGTGGGGGTAGGAAGCCCAAAAGAAAGGTGAAGCAGCATCAACCAGGCTCGGACCTTTTAGTTCCTGCCAACGTTAAAATGCAAACAAGGAGCAGGAGGAAGAAGATGGACGAGCCTATGGAGGAAGGGTCTGAAGAGCTTAAAGATTCTGAACCTCACATGAGAACTAGAAACCAGGGTAGGAGGACAGCCTTTTACAACGAGGATGACTCTGAGGAAGAGCAAAGGCAGCTGTTGTTCGAAGACACCTCTCTGACTTTCGGGACGTCCAGCCGAGGCAGAGTCCGAAAGTTGACTGAAAAAGCAAAGGCCAATTTAATCGGTTGGTGATTTTTAGCAAGGGTTTCACTTCAGAATGCTGTGGGGCAGGTACAGTTAAGGACCGAGCAGAACGCAGGCTTCTGCTTCCCTGCTGCTATTATGGGTTGGAAGAATGTGTTCTGATTTGGGGAGAAAAATTTAGCAAAAAATAAACTGAAAGAACGTTCTTTGAAAGAAATATATATTTTAAACTTTTGCTATTTATTGCCCTCCAAATAGGTTATGCATTTCAACAGGCGTTTTGTTCATGGTTGAGAATGATCGAAGCAATTTCTGACTGACTTACAGAATTGAGAATTACTCTGCTCTTGAGTAGTGCGTATTATCTCCACACAATTAAAAAGGTGATAGAACTGTTAATGCCACAAACTGAGAACAGAAGTCTATTTTTGACCAAACAAGGTACAGTTTTATTGATTGTAAAGTCAAGTCTCCTAGGAAGGCAGATTTTGGCATAAAGTGGCAGCAATTCACTTACCTTTCTATCAAATGCAAATGCAAAAATACCAAACTTTGCTAATCTGAAAATGTTTGATTTCAGTACTGATGGAACATTCAACTGCAAAAGAAGCCTAGCACAGGCTGTTGGTTTATCCAAGTTCTGCCAAACATAGCAAAAATGTAATCTCAATTATATATATATCCACATTGGAAAAAGTTTGACTAATGTCTAATTTTTCAGACCTTGATTCTTGTATCAATCACTAAATCTCTGTTTATTGTGCCAAAGACTGAGAATCAGTGCAGTGGAAAACCCTTTCTTTTCCTCCCTTCCTTTCTTTTGGAGTGTCAGTCCAGCATCCAGTTTGCAGTGATAAAAGCTGTGTCTCGTTGGAAATTGTAAGTCAACATTGTTCTGAGATGTCTCCTTCTTGGTACTTATGGTAGAAAATAATGCACTGGTGGGGTCCTTTGACAGAGATGTTTTGGACAAAATGTGTAATTGGTTAAAGGATTCAAGAAAACCACAGGACAGGTATGGAACTGCAGTGTTTACCTTCTGGTCCGGATAGATCGTTGTTCTACAACTTCAGACATGCTGAAAAGGCTGAAAAAGACCTACAAAGAACAGTGTGTGTGTGTGTGTGTGTATATTACTATATACATAAACACATAGAAAATGTTACCCAGGTAAAAATTCCTTTTTTTCAGGATTTTTTAGATAGCACTAGAATCGAAAATGAATTTTAAAATGTCATACTTTCTAGTTTAATTTTAAGGGGAAGATTGGTTATTTTCAATTATTAAGGTTAAAAGGCCAAATCACTTTTTATGCAATCATGTTTTATACAGTGGTCTCATTGCACATTGTGTTTTTCTGCACTTTTTATGGTATATCACGCTGACATTAGTCAATATACACCCTAAAGAAAAGATTCCATTTAATGATTGTGCCTTGTATTCTATTATTTCTTGCATCCTTAGTAAAATTAAGTTGTCTATTGTAAATGATAACTATATGACTTAGGGGAATGTATTACTATATGTACTGCTATGGAAAAGAAAAGCAGTTATTTATTTGTTTATGGTACATTTAGTTATTTTATACCTTTACAAACAAACTTTAATACCATTTTCTATCGCTTAAAACTTCTTGTCCAATTTTAAGGAAAAAAAATCCAGCAGCAGGAGTATTTTCTGAGGTCTGGTATGGTACAAAAATGTAACCCAAATTTGCAGATTACATCTAGCTTGGGAACTTTGGGTCGTGGGGAAGGAATCCGTGTGCGCGACCCTGCCTGGGATGGAGGAGAAGGAGCCACAACGGGGGCCGTGGATCCCTGTGGATTCTGCTCCCTTCTTTGGGGCCTAACTCTCTCCTCTCTCTATTCTCCGTTACAAAAGAAGAAAAAAAAAAAAAAAAGCTTAAATGTTGGCGTTTGGCATGGAGAGGAGTAGGAATAAGCTGATTTGGATGGCAAATTGGTATCCACCGTACGAGGTCGGTTAACAGAGTTCGTTACATCTGTTGTTACAGAAGCTGAGTCAAGTGTTTTCCAGATCCTCACTGATGTGCTTTGGTTACGACTTTGGGCAGCAGGGTTTGTGTTTCATTTGCATCSTTATTTTTTTCTGGAATGCCTTTCCTTGTTTTCCAATTAAACTGGAGTCACAAAACATGCAGTGCGATGGGAAGCGATGGTTGTACAGTCACAGGACAGCTTGGCGCTGCGGGGCGAGCTAGTTCAGCCTCTTCATTTCTTGAGAACTCGCTGATGAAGGCAATCATTTGAAAATGTGTAATTTCCTGATGTTATCTGCATTGTAATATATGAAATAGATTATATCTAAAATTCAACTTCTGTATTTACTCCGTTTGTAATAATGTTTTATATGGCATGTTTATGTACATATTTATATACCGGAAAATACCTTGTATGTAAATTTTGGAGGCTAAAATAATATGCATTCCCTTAACAGTAGGTAGAAAATCACACGTGTTAATTTGATGAGAAGAGAAGGCCTTACCTGCGGAACAAGGGTGCTGCTTCCCGCCCACTAACACTGGTGACTTTAGCCTGTTACTTTTTAATTCCTCCCAGGCGTGTTATTGATTTTCCTTTAAAATGAATTGTGCATCATTTGGGCCAGCCTTTTTTTTAAAAGAAGCAACACTAAAAATTTTAGTAGAAGTTAATACCAGATTTATTTAAAAATTCTATTTTTATAATTTAGCTTCACTAGCTTGCCAACGTTTTTATTTATGGGACTTCAGTCACCATGAGCCTGTGTGCATTTTGCTTGGGAAGAACCCATTATTTGCCATTGCAAAATACTGTGTCGACGCRGCAAACAAGAGCTTTCGGTCCTGACTCTTTTTTTTCAGTTTCCAAATGTGAGCAATAAACTCCTGACGATTCGCAGTGATTCGAGGCGCGCAGCTCCGTGCACGGCGCGGACTCGGGGGCCGCCGGCGCGCGCGGAGGCTGCGCCGGCCTCGCCGCGAGGAGCGCCCCGCCGCGCTCCTCACCCGCCGGCCCGGCTCCAGCTCTGCCCCTCCGCTCCCTGCGGATCCCTGTCCGTAGGGAGGCAGCGGCCGCGGGCGCTGCGCCGCTCCGGGGAGAAGGCGCAGCCGTGCGGAGAAACGTCTTCGTGCAGCGAGSGGGCTGCTGCGCCGGTGCTGGCTGTGGTTGTTTGTACAGTGTCCGCCTTGTGCTTGTGCCATGGGCGCCTCCTTAGGCTTGTACGGGTGGGGTGGGCGMGTTGAGTGTTGCTGTGGCTTCATATTTGTAAAGCTGTTAATTGGTAAAGGACCCCGATGCAGCACGTAGGATATATTAGTACCTATAAAGGACAAATTGTAGTGTAGAGACAACTTACTCACTGTATTGCTGTACCAATATTTTTCAAGTACCAATTTTGATTCTGTGCCAGAGGCTTTTGCCTTACCAAAAAATCAACTGGATACAACACAAAAAAAGAGTCTGGCCATTGGATAACTTCAGGCTTGCCACAACTCTCACAGCGCTGTGTCAAATCTCCTGCCGCGCTGGCTGGATCGAGGACTGCAAGTCAGGGCTTCGGCGGGTGMTTTGGGCCGGGGCGCCTAGGAAGTGCGTGGCTGTTCCCAGCAAAGCAGCAGGCCGAGCTGAGGGGGACCCCGGCGCCCCAAACATGCGCCTTGTGTTGGAGCCTGGGAGCTTTGAGCCTCAGTTTCAGCAGCCTCCGCGTGTAGTTTCCAGTACCTGAATCCTGCTGAGGTGATTTTAACTGTTGCTGGTCAGTCAAGGTTCAGCCGTATCGCAAAATACTGCTGTGGGTCCTGAGTCCTTACCTTATCCCAAGGTAGTAGGTAGTTTTACCAAAAAAGAATATATATATTTTTAAAAGTTTTTTTTTAACTTGAGTGCTTAAAAAGAATTTAATTACAATTCTTAAAAGTGCTGTGATGAAACAGAAGGCAGAGGGCATTAAAACCTCACCTGGAAGCAGCAAAAGCTCATTTTCTGTTTACTACCTAATGAAAACAAATTACTGGTGTAGAATTACTACATAATATCTTTTGTCTGCGTTTCCCCGAAGTTCTTGTACCAGATTGGTTTCCAAGGGGACCTAGATATTCGGCTGATGAAAGGGCTGTTTGTTTTCTGCTGTAAATCACTTGTATATAAATGCCTGCCCATACGCAGAAGAAGGTGTGTTAGGACTGACCCCCCGTGGGTATCGAGCACCCGTGGGCCGCCCCCGCTGCAGCGGCGCCTTCGCCCCCCCGTCCTGCAGCCCGTTCCAGGAGGGAGCGAACGCTCCGGGAGAGCTCGCTTAGAGGCAGCTGAAACTGCAGGGAAGGGGGTCTCTGTTTCCCTGTTTTCTTCCCGCAAGGCTGTGGAGGGCACTCGAGAGGGAACCTCATACGCCGCAGCAAGGTGGAGGTGGATCAACGTAGCTTAGGTAGCGAGACAGGTAGAGCTTTTGGATCCCTTTTAATGCAGATAAATACATCAGGAAATTCACGTCGGGTAACGCACGCAGTACTGTGTCGGGAGGGAACGTGGTGATGTGGGCGGTTCTGCTGCCCTGAAAGAGCAAAACACAAGGTCAAACAAACGGGGAGCGTAAAGACATTTCCTGTAAGTGCCTGTTGTGGCCGCAGGCCTCTGTGATGAACCGCTCTGCGCTCGCAGCGTTGCGTGGTGGTTTCTGATACCGAGGCCGTACGGAAGTTACATTTTTGGACCATACTAAAACTGCAAAACGATGGCAGACAACTGGATAACGATCTTGAGTGAATTGAATTCTGTCATAATGTTTAAATATCAGCAAAATGGAGCTCAACTCTAAGGAAATTGCCTAGAATGGTTAATTTTTAAACTGACACATTTTCAGATTAAAAATTACACTTATTTTGTACAGAATTATGTAAAACACACGAATCTGTTGTACGTAATGAGTAACAGTTTTCAAAACTATAATTCTTTGGCTTTATCAAAGTGGGTTTTTTTTGTTTTTGTTTTGTTTTTGTTTTGTTTTTCATTTTTTTCTTTCCAGGAATCTGGATTATCATGTTATAACCTGAAGTATCTCACCAAGATAACAGTGCCCTTTCTTTTTGTACATATTGATTGGAAATTTCTTTACTGTTACGTGGACACTTTCTATGTTAGTTTTGATGCATAATACTTTGAATCCTTTTTATACAACCTAGAATGTATGTGTAAGAATTACTGTCACTGCAATGTAGTAACTACAAACTTATTTTTAAATAAATAGAAAACATGTTTTTCTAAGCTGTCCARCAGTGTGGGTTTCCATGTGGTGCATTGCTGCCTTGTGGGAGAACTGCCTCTTTGTTCTTTAAAGCAGTGTCAGGTCAGCTCGCTCCGGGTCCTTGCGGGTTACAGGGTATTACCGGCACCTTAGGGGGCCAAACCTGCAGGCAGGGCGCTGCGGGGCAGGAGGATTTTCCCGGAGGCTTTTCCAGGAAAGGGGAGGCAGCGGGAAGGCCTCAGCAGCTGCCTGGGGTCGGCTGGGCCTCGTGGCTCCCCGCGGCCCTGCTGCCTCCGTGGGAATTCCCTGGCAAAGGGCGAAGCCCGAGAGGGAGCCGAGGGCTGCCGGCTCCCGCACGCGGAGTTGCTGCTTTCCCGCCTCGCAGCCCTGAGAGGGCGATGGGCGACTCCGCAAGGGATGTGTTTGCACAGGACGGAGCTGGGGCTTTTTGTTTATGCCTGCATCTGTGTGCTCTGAGACAAAAGGAACTGCCTGATGCTTTGCGTAGCGCGGGCYGTGTCCCAGTGGCTGCAGCAGAGGATCCTTTTCCTCACTCTCCCCCAGGCCTCGGATAAGTGCCAGCGGGAGCGACGGCCCCTGAGCGAGTGGGTGCAGGCCTTGGTGCTGCCACGCGTGGGGGCCGCGACGTCCCCGTGGAGCCGGTGCCAAAAACGCCTGTTCTGGCCCTGCCTGCGGGGAAACCCTGCCGGGCCCCTGGACCGCGCTGAGAGCGGCGTCCTGCCCGGAGAGCAAGGCTGCGGGAACGCAGCCGCCTCCTGCCGCGTCTCCGCTGGGGACCGACAGCCGCGCCTTCTTGGATACCCATCGGTGGTGGTGCCAAGTCCTGCTAACAGCAGTCCCTGCTAACAGCAGTCCGTGTCTCCAGGAAGAAATCCCGCGGGATCCAGCAGCTGTTTTCGCTTTTGCTACCACAAACAGGCTGAAAGTCGCTTGTGATTCTTGTTTCACGGCGCTGCTGAGGAGAGCGCTCGTGGTGACTCTGGGATGGTCTCGTGCATCGGGCATCTTTCTCCYGCAGAACTGCAGCAAATGGATTGGAAAGTGCAACCCGGTCCCACTTAACCGTGATGGGTGAAACGGGGAGTGCTCCTGTGGGGCAGGGATCTTCCGAGTCCTGCTGCCGTCATTTCACTTCTGGTAGGGATTGGGATTTTATGTAGGAGATCGCGGGAAGCATCGTTATTGAGAGCCTGAGCAGGCCTCCTGCGCCAGCATTAATACTATCCTGCTCTGTGAAACCCTGACTCCCATTAAGTGAAGGCAATTATTCATCATCATGGAACATGACCGTTTTGTTTTGAAAATCAGAAAGTTCTTGCTCAAAACCAGCGCCTGTTCTTGCTCTGGCAATCAATCTGAACTTCCCAAAAGAGACTAYTTGCCGTTTTCCTGAGGGAAATTCGGCCAAATGAAAGGCCTTTCAAAATCAATCAGTGTTTCTGTTTGAAGTAGGTATGAAAATGAAGTGCCAGGAAAATTGAAAACTCTGAGCAATATAGAAGATGACTGTAATTTAAATAGTCTACAATTAACTTACTATTCAGGAAATCAGTATGCAAAATATATATATATATATATATTTTTAAACTAATGTGGACAGGAAGGTCTCAGATTGTTTTTTTTTAGCTCAGCGGAAAGTCTTGTCTGACAGGTATCTGTACAGCCGGCCTGGATTGCTGTTTTATGAGGGTGTAGTGAGGACCCAGGGACCCTCTGGTGCTTTGAAAATATTTGTGTTAGCTGAAGAAAAGACCRGCTAGAGAATTCTGGCCTGCTGTTTCTGGTCTGATACCATCCCTACAAATTTCCTTCATTTTTTCCTTTTATTATCTCAAAAAAGGAGAGATCTTCCCTAAACCTGGGCTTTACCTACCTCTGCTTCTCCTTCAGCTTGTAGGTGCACCACTGGAGAAGCAGTAGGTCAGGAAACGAGGGGCATGYTTGAGAAGCCGAGTTCCAGCCAGGCACATCCGCGCCAGGCAGCACTGGAGGGGCCAGGCAGCCTCAGCTGCCCTGGGCTCCCTGTCTCTCATTCCGGAACTGAGCTGGAACACCGGCATTCAAAGCAAGGAAGCCTCGAACTTCAAATTTTAGCACATGTTTAGAAAAGAACTACAATTTTTAGCACATGGCTAGAATGCCAGAAAGAATGGTTTAATTTTCTTGTCTTGCATTATGTGGTAGAAAAATCCAGGAGGATTATTCTTTCGGCATTTTCCAACGCAAGCTGCTGTGAACTGCTTTAAAAAAAAAAAAAAGGAAAACACAACAAAATTACTTAAACCAGTAAAATTCTTTAATTTGTGATTATGTCAGCAATTTGCATTACAGCTTTTAGCCAACCAAAATCCTAAAATCTTAGTATAAGAATATGGATACATATGTCCATGCTATTTATTGTCTTTCACTAACATCAGTTAATTCCTAATGCGGAAGAACATTTGAAAGGATTAAAATTATAGGACACATTTTTTTTTATTCTGTTTAATATTTGTAAAGAATT